CTGGAAAAGGCTCTGGTTCTGAGACTGACTGACTGCAGAGGCGTGCGGCGGATGGCGGGAGGGCTGGAGGCCGCGGCGCCCGGGCAGAGGCCGGGAAGAGGTGGGCGGTGGCGATGCCGAGGGGAGGTAGCCCGTGCGACGGCGGCGATGGGGTCTCGGGCCGTCCTTGCATGCAGGCCCGGGTGACCCATCCGCCTTCCCCGTCTCCCTGTCTCAGGCTGCTGCTCCCGGTGTGAGTAGTTGTGCTTTTCCTTGTAATTTACAGCGAATTCGACTCAAGCCGGCAGAGGCTGGCTCTGCAGGTGGGGAGGTCCGGAGGGGTGCGGACCGAGCCCCTGAGGCCAGTCCCCAGCTTCCCTCGGTTTTGGTGTCCTGCCAGCCCCGGGGCTGAGGAGGGCAGGTGTCAGGACCTGCCACCCTGAAGTGTGCCCTACCATCTACCACCCCCCCCCCCAGAGTCCTAGGACCTCTGGAAGGGCTTTGGTAGGAATGGGGTTTGGGGGTAACTTCCGGGGACCCAGGCCTGGGCTGGCCTCCGGCATTCGACACTTCAGTTGGCTGATACCAACGTCCCACAGCCCAGGCAGCCCCTGTGTGCCCGTGGGAAGAGCGAGGGAGAGGTTTCTGGCTGTCTCCCCGAGCCTTTTGCCCTCCAGCCTCCCCCGGCCCCCAGCTCCGGGCTGGCCCCTGTCCCTCCGGGACCTCGGTTCTGAGTGGTGCCTGCAGGGATGGGGCCCCCGGTGAGCCCATCCTTGGCTCGGCTCTCTCGCTGTCGCCCAGCCTTCTGGGATACCCCAAGGCGGCCGGCCTGCAGGAGCCCCCCTCACACCCAGTTCCACTTCCCTCGTGCTGCGCCCACACAGCCGCTGGGACCGGCAGAGGACGGGCCCCCAGATCCAAAGACCCAACGTCCCGTCACAGGCGGCCGGCCCGTGAAGCCATTGTGCCCAGCATGGAAGACACAGCCGTGATTTCCCGGCATCATCCCCCTGGGGGCGGCCAGCTGTGCCCCTACCTCTGCCCTGGGGCCCCAGACTCAAAAGCAATGGACAAAAGGGGGTGCTGGCCGAGCCCCACCATCATCCTAGACGACTCTCCAGGCCCGGGGCTCCCCTCACGCCGCCCCCTCCTGGCACAGGGGTCAGAGCACCATCAGAAAAAGCTGGTCCCCAGGGCCGTCCTGCCCTTTTTCCTCCCAGATGCGCTGCTTTGTCTCTTGCGTGCTCTGACCCTCCGGGCCTGACAGGGTGAGCTTGGCTGTGCAGTGCGAGTCCTGGAGGAGAGGGTGTCCGGGCGAGATCCCCGCGCTGTCCTCTGCGTCGCCCGTCCGTCCGCCCGCGTGGTCACCGGCGGCTCTGCCGTGGGGCGTCACGGTGGAAGATGACTTGGATTTTGGCTCCGTCGCAGGTGGAGGGGGACTTGGGAGTGACGTGCTGTGGGTGGTCCTGTGCTCGGTCCCGTGCAGAGAACTGAGAAAGGCCCCAAGGCGGTCCAGCCTGACTCAGGGGGATGGGGGGGGCGTGCAGGGCCAGGGCCCAGGCCCAAGCACTGATCCTGTGGTCTGAGGATGAGGATGGGTGCTCTGTCCCCACCCCGAGCAGAGGGCCCGTTCCTGGTGTCGCTGTGTGATGGTGGCCAGGCTCCCCGACCCCCAATGCGGCCAGGCAGGAAGGGGGCTGCCCTCGGGAGTCCTGGGGCTCCCGGCAGATGCCACCCCAGCAGATGTAGGCCCCTGCCAGGGCAGAAGCGGGAGGCACCCTGAGTCCTAAATCCATGGGCCTCTTGGTCAGAGAGTCCCTCCAGGAGGAAAGGGTTCATCCCCCGGCCCCATGCACCGAGCCCACCGAGGGGAGGGCTCCCTTGCTCAGCAGCCAGCAGCTCCACACACCTCTGCTCCTGTAGCCCCTCCTCCCCCCCCTTCCCTCCCGTTCTGCCCCCTGGCCTCCCCCACTGCTGCTGCAGCCTCTCTGCTCTCCTCCCCCGGCCCAGGCTGCCCCTTCCCTCCTTCCCCAACCTTCTCAAGCCTCAGGTCCCAGCGGTCCCCCCCGCCCCGATTCCCCATCCTGCCCACCCCATGTTAACTGTAATTTTGTAAGTAGAGTGACTGTGGGTTTAATAAATCGCTAGTGGTTGTCATAATTTATCGGCTGCCGTCGTGTATTTATTAGTCACCCACGTTCATAAAAGTGCCGGCTCTTCCCAGCGTGCGTGTGGTGTGCCGTCAGTGCCCAGGCCTCCGCCAGGCACATCCACATGACACGTGTCTGGTGCTCAGCTCCAGGTCGGTCTCGGGGCCCCGCCTGCGCCCGCGGGCTGCCTGATGGAGGGGGCATGCCCCGCTGGGGTCGGAAGGACTCCTGCTGCTCTCAGCGCCCCGGAGCCCAGCGGGCACAGGGAGGGGGCAGACAGGCAGTGACTGCAGGCAGGGGTGGGTGGCTGTTGTCCGGCTGTGACCTCTGGCTTCTCTCTCTCTTCTCAAATCATGGCACCGCCTCCTGTTTGCACTGTATTCCGGCATCTGTTTCCTCCCGGAAAACCCGTGAGGAAGAGCTGTGCTCTCGGTTCCCTGGTGATGGCTCCAGTCCGAGTGGGGAAGGGTGCGGGGCGTGGAGGGGGCTCAGTGCCACCCCGGCTGCCCCCCAGCCCCACCCCCGCACCTGCAGAATCGGCTCTTCTTTCCAGACCCTCCCTCCCGAGTCCTCCCACACGGAGAATCCGGGGCTGACTGTGCGCCGTGTTCTCTGCCCCTGGAGAATCGGGGTCTGACTGTGCGCCGTGCCCTCTGCCCCTGGAGAATCGGGGTCTGACTGTGCGCCGTGCCCTCTGCCCCTGGAGAATCGGGGTCTGACTGTGCGCCATGCCCTCTGCCTCCCCGCTCCTCCCGGGCCCCGCAGACCTTTGTGGCGTGTGGTGTTGCCTCTCCCCATTAGCCTGTGAGCTCTGGGAGAGGCCTGTAAGTGGGGGACAGGGAGAGGGCGCTGTGCCAGCCGGATCCTTAGAGCTTGGCCTGGGCTTTTCCTTCAGACCTAAGCTCGGGGCCTCTGGAGGAAGACCTTCAGCCCAGCCAACCCCGCCCCCCCCCCAACACCCCTCCCCAGCTCTCAGCTCCTCACCCTGGTGGTCCCTCTGGTCGTGGGAGCGCCTGGGCATATGTCCCCACTGTGACCCTCGGTGTCTGTGGGCAAAGCAGTGCTGGGACTGGGCGTGCAGCTGGGACTGTGCGGTGCACTGGTGGGCAGCACTGGGTTGAGTGGCTGTGGACCAGCGGCTCTGTTGGGGGGCTTTTCCTAGAGTCCGTGGGTGTCGAAACATCTCGACTCTGCCCTCCTCGGTGGCCGGCGAGCTGAGTGTGCTCAGCCCCAGGCCCTGCCCTTTACGGATGGGCCCTGCGGTGCCCGGGCACTGAGTCTCACTCCTCCCTGAATAGGACTGCGGGGGGACCGAGAAGGAAGGGGCCTGGTTGAGGCTCGGAGGATGATAAGGTCCCGTGGGTGGGTGTGCTGAATCTGCTCGGCAGAGGGGAGGGACAGTGGCCTTGGCAGCAAAAGTAACCACAGCTGTCTGGTGGCTCCTGACAAGCAATAAGGACGCACGCTGCCCGCCCCCCCCTTCCCAGCCTTGGCCACAGAACGAGGGTCTGGGGCCCATACCTTTGCGGTCACAGGTGTGAGAGGTGCTCTTGGGCCATCGAGACCTCATTGTTTCCTCCTCTGAAGACCACAGACCAGACCGAGTGCCTGGAGAGGCCCGGAACACTGCCCAGCTCTGGCGCTGCCCACCCCTCGCCCCCCTGTCACTCCCATGCCCCTAAGGGTTGGTGAGATTAACCAGCACGAGGCAGGGCAAGTGCTGGGTGCAGAGTGGGTGCAGTGACTGTGGAGGATGCGTCCCCACCTTCCCCTCCTCCCCCTGCTCAGATAGGGGACGTTGCCATGGCGACAGAACAGGCAGCTTCCTCAGCTCCTATGGCTGCCTCTTGCCCCGCTCTGCCCTCCCATCCCGGAGAATAAGACCCAGCGGCACCCACACTGCTCTCTGCTCTTGCCCCGGTGTGGTTCCGTCTTCTGACGTCAGAGGGAGACCGTACCCCGGGATCGCTCTGGGCCCGGCTGCAGGCCCGGGGGGCTGGGTGTGAGGGCAGCTATGCCTTCCCGCAAGGCGGTCCGTCACAGGAAGCCACCTTCCCGCACAGAGAGATGGGCTCCCACACTGCCAAGAGGTCCCTCCCCGCTACCTACCCCCATAGCCGAGTGTACTCCTGGCATCCCACCACCCAAGCTGGCCTCCCTGGGCCCAGGCAGAGGCTGTCCCTGGAGGCTCTGCTCTGTCTGGAGGCCCCACACACACACTCATTCGCTGAACGGACTGTGTACAAAGAGGCTAGGCCCGTCGCCCAGGCTCCCCTGCAGCCAGCCTGGCAGCCCCCTCTCCCTGCACAGCTGGCCCCACGTGTACCTTCCCCGAGGTCCCTGCACAGTCCCTCACCCTTCACAGAGGACACCCCCACCCACAGATTGGGCTAAAGAGGGCAGGTCTGGACAGGAAGGGCCAAAGCCCAGCTCTGGGCTCCCATCCAATCACCAGCACCCCCAGCACATGCACACACACACACACACACACACGCACATACACACACATGCATGCACATGCATTCAGGGAGACACTCCTGTGGCTGGGGACTTCGCAGGGGGAGAGCCCAAGTCACCGGGTCCTCAGCCTCCCCCGGGGAGCCATGTCGGGTCGCTGTCTGCCATTGGCCCTGAGACGAGGGGCGTAGGGGGTTCTGGGCGCTGGACGTGGGCAGCCCCGTGCTGTGTAGCAGATCACCGTTCTGTCTGTCCGCCTCCCACGGGCCTAGGAGCCCCTCCTGAGCGGCTGAGTCGCCCAGCTCCTCTCTCTCAAACCTAATGCTTCTTCTCTCTCCCTGTCTCCCTGTCTCCGTGTCTCCCTCCCGCTGTCTGTCCCGCTCTCTCCACCCCTCCCCCTGCCTGCGGCCGCAGAACCGCATGCACGAGTCTCTCATGCTCTTCGACTCCATCTGTAACAACAAGTTCTTCATCGATACCTCCATCATCCTCTTCCTCAACAAGAAAGATCTCTTTGGGGAGAAGATCAAGAAGTCACCGCTGACCATCTGCTTTCCTGAGTACACAGGTGGGTGCCCGGGGCCTGTGCGGGAGGCAGCCCCGCCCTCCCAGGGATGGGGTCCCCCTGCACAGGCGTGAGCCCCTGGCTCTGGGAACAGGCTGCTGCTGGAGCCGGCAGGGCGCAGAGGGAAACGCCGGGGTGTGGCCAAGCGTGGCCCTTCCCGGGACACGGCCCTGGGTGTGGGGGGAGATGGACCTCCTGATCCATATGCTTTGTGACCAGGTGAGTCAGGAGTAACCTGGCAGGGCAGGGCGGGGGCTTCCCCTTTAACCCTGCTCACCCCCATCTTGCTAGTCTCCCCAGCGACCTTCCCTTAACCTCCCCAGGCGGCTGCTGGCCTCACAGCACCTGCGCCTGGATTAGGAAGGGCAGCCACGTGGGCTGTGCGTGGCCACACCTGTTTTCTCTACCATCAGAGACGTGTCCCGCCAGATCTTCCACCCCCTGCACCATCAGGCCTGCTTTCCCCCCTCTTCCTCCACCTCCCATCTTTTTCCCAAACCAGACCCCCAACCTCCTCCTTCTCCTCCTCCTCTGCAAGCCTCCTCCTTCTCTGCCTGCCTCTCCCTCACCTCCTCTGGGGCTTTGTCCTCCCATCTGGCTCCCAGGGGGATGTATCCCAGATGCCACTCGGAGCTCTTGCAGCCGGTGGATGAGGCATCGGGCTGCCAGCCGAGGGAGGCAGCTGCTGTGGGCTGGCGGGCCCCGGGCCACAGCGAGGGGCCAGTGCAGAGCCCAGCCTTCGTCCCCCTGGACGGGGGAAGCTCCTGGGGGCCCCTTTTGCACCCCGCAGGTTGGCTCAGCCAGGACCCCCTCACAGGCAGCCCCGAGAGAGGGGAGGGCATGCATGGGCTGGGCTCCCAGGACTCCACTGTCCCCCCCACCCTTCTCTGCCGCCTGGAAAGTGATGGCGCTCACCCTCGGTGTGCAGAAAGGCCCATCGGGTGTTCTGAGCACAGCCCATCGGTCACTGGTGTTCCACTGCTTGTCAGTCAGCAAGGCTCCCACCCACCCCAGGGTGCTAGGAGCGGGGGTGGCAGCCGGGGTGGCGGCGGGCTGCGGTCGGGCAGCGGCCAGGAGCGTGCCTCTGGCCGGCAGGGGCACAGAAGCAGCCTCTGGAGCCAGACCACCTGACCATCTGCAACTTTGGGCAGGCAAACTCCCTGGTCCCGTTTCTCATCTGGGCACCATGGTAACAGCAGTAGTGCCCGGGGGGCGGGGGGCCTCAGGGAGGAGTGGAGAGCACAGAGCCCGGGGCCTGGTCTGTGTCCCACTGGCCGTGGGTTACTCAGAGGATGGGAACCAAGGACGGGGGCCGGGGGTGGGGCTGGGGAGGTGTGGCCCCCACCCTCAGCACCGGATGGCATTGGTTCCAAGCTCCCAGATCCTAGGGGCACTGAGGCCTCTTCCTTTGCTGGCGCTTAGGAAATTTTGTGTTGCTCTGTATTTTATGGTGATTGAAAGCTGTCCACGGGGCAGAGCCACGTGGGTTTAATCTGTTTGATTAAACAGAACTGTCTTTGCATCCTCCCCAGACATCCCCACCAGGCCCCAGAGGGATCGAGGGGACAGCGAAGAGCGGGGTGGGGCAGCTGCTAGCACCTGAAACTGCCCACCCAGGGGATATCAGCGCCCTTAAGGCTGGCCACTCACCCAAGAACCAGGACTGTGTGGGGGCGCCCCAGCCCTGCCCAGTGCAGGGAGACGGGCAGGTCCAGCTTGGCCCTCAGGGCCCCCTGTGACACCAGGAGTCCTGGATCCCCACCTGCCAGGGCTCCCCTCAGAGGCCACTGCCTTGGTTTATCAGAGCAGCAGGGCTGGTTTCTTTTTATTTCTTTTTTAAAATACATTTTTTGGGGGGAATTTTGTACTTTTTTCCTGTGTAAATATTGGACTTTTTTGAGCTTTATTGTGGTTGTTAATTTGAAGTAATAAAGTAGAAAAGGATAAAGTGAAAAAAAAAAAAAAAAATACATTTTTTTATTGATTTCCGAGAGGAAGGGAGAGGGAGGTGGAAACATCACTGATGAGAGAGAATCCTGGATCGGCTGCCTCCTGCACGCCCCCTACTGGGGATCGAGCCCCCAACCCAGGCATGTGCCCTGATCAGGTACCAAACCGTGACCTCCTGGTCACAGGTCAATGCTCAACCACTGAGCCATGCTGGCCAGGCGAGCAGGACTGGTTTAGACCAGGGGTGAGTGCTGTGAAGGGCAGACCGGGGCGGGGCCTCAGGGTGCTCATCCAGAAAGCAAAGGGACCTTCTGTGGCCATTGTCCGCCCAGGGCTCCTGGGGCCCAGGGTGGAAACGGTGAGACGCCTGGAAAAGCCAGAAGCCAGGCGAATGCAGAGCCGCACGTGGGTTTGGCTGTGAAATACAAGGACGCCTTTGGAGAGGGCGAGTCTGCCTGTAGCCTCCTCTCCTCTGGGCTCTGCTTCCAGGGAGATGCCCCAGCCCGCCTGTGGCCCGGGGGTCCCCACCCCGTCCCCGCCGGCTCTCACCGGGGCCTCTCCCTGTTCTGTCTTGCTACAGGCCCCAATACCTACGAAGACGCAGCCGCCTACATCCAAGCACAATTCGAAAGCAAAAACCGCTCTCCCAACAAAGAAATCTATTGTCACATGACTTGTGCCACAGACACGAATAACATCCAGGTGGTATTCGACGCCGTCACCGACATCATCATTGCCAACAACCTCCGGGGCTGCGGCTTGTACTGACCTCTTGTCCTGTATAGCAACCTACTTGGTAATGATTCCAGCACTCAGAAAAGCTCACACCCACCCACACACACACACACACCACCCACCACTCACCATCCACCACTGACAAATGCAAGTTCGTAAATAAACTTTAAAAAAAAAAGGCGTAACAAAAACATATATATAAATATATATATACAAATATATATTCTTTTTAGTTTGTACTAGAAAGAGCTTCAGACAGAACTGACCACCACCCCATAGGGTCAGCCCATGAGCATGCAGGTGTGTGCCTGTGCACGCATGTGCGTACACACACACACACACACACACACACACACACACACGCGAACTGTGATGGAGCCCTGACTTGGGAGACCAGCCCCATAGGTTCACCCTCTGAGACCCATGTCTGTGAGCAGCGGGAGGCCAAGTGGCCTGGCCTCGGTCTGGCCCATCTCTGCTTCTACCCCGAGCTCTCAGTTCTGCCCGGCTCTCTGCAAAGCCCCAAACCCTTTACAAAATGGCCAGTGCCCTGGCCCTCCCACTGCCCTACACCCCCCCAAAACAGGAAAAGGACTTAGAACCATTGCTCTGACCACCCACTGACTCCTGGTCTCTTTCTTCAAGCCAAGCAGGCACGAGTCAGAGCAGCTGCAGGGAGGGACATGCCGGGCGCGAGGGAGATGGGGGCGAGGGGGAGACGGGGGCCGGAGGGGCCACAGGGAGGGCTGGATGGCAGACCTGACCACAGAGGAGGCCTCTAGGGGACTGGGCCGGGCTTCCTGGGATTCCTTCTCCTCTTCCTTCGATGCGTCCCCATCTTGCCCGCCTCCGACACAGGAGCAATGAGTGCGCCAGGGTTTGTTGGTTGGTTGGTTTGTTGGTTTTTAAAAGCAAAGAAACTGGCCCGACTGGACCCCCCTTATCTCTCTCTCTACAGACTGCTTCACGGACTCTCTGCTGTTGACCTTGATCTCCTGGTAGCATGACCTTTTGGCCTTTGTAAGACACACAGCCTTTCTGTTATCAAGCCCCTGTCTAACCCACGACCCCAGAGTGACTGACGGCTGTGTATTTCTGTAGAATGCTGTAGAAACCCGGTTTTAGTTGAGTCTCTACATTTAGAATTTGAAAGGAAAAAAAAAAGAACATTTCTCATGTGCTTTGTAGCTTAAAAGGAAAATGGAAAACTCACCATTACATCCATATTTCTTTCTCTCTTTTTTTGGAATAAAAAACATACACTGGCACTCCCCCGTCTCCCATCTCACCTGGCGGCAGGTGTGGGGGCAAAGGTGCCAGGCCTCTCTGTCCGCACCAGGTTTCCAGAATGTGCTCAGACCGGGCTGCGCTTTGCACCCCACACCACCCACACACCCCACCACACGCACACGTGCACACACACACACACACACACACGCACGCACGCACGCACGCACACACGCCCCCAACCACTCCAGCTACACGCTCACCCCAGGTTTGTATAGAAAAAGCACAGCTCTCACTGGCCCATAGCTGCCCCACAGAATCGGATCACATGCATAAAGAGCCCCATCGAAAACAGTGTCCCCATCCATTTATTCTGTTCACTATGTTCCCTTCGGACAGACACCCTTCATCACCATTTTCCAGTTGTTTCCTTTTCCTTTTTGTCCTGGTGAGCCCTGTGTACCCACAACACCCCAGCAGCTGCCCTTGTCTTTGGGGGTCAGGGTTGCGGGTTTTTTCCTTTGACGTTTTTGCTTCTCAGTCTCAGATGGATGCTCCCTGTGTGCGCGAGTGTGTGTGTGTGTGTGTGTGTCCTCCACCTTGTCCTCTGTTTTGGTGACCTGTGTCCACTCTTTCTCATGTGAGGATGGATGTTTGTGGCACAGATAAAAAAACAATGAAAAATCCCCCACCTTTTTTTTTAAATGCCACAAGATGGGAAGGAAACCCCACACACACACACGGACACACACACACACACACAGACACACACAAATGTAAAAGGCAAAGACGGAGTCAGTATTGACACGAAAGCCAGTTGCCATGACCAGTCCTGTCATTTCTACTCTGTCTCGTATTCCAACCCCGAACCTCTTCACGGTTTCACTTTTAAGACATTTGCTGAAGAACCAGTCACAGCCATTTCAGATAAAAAAAAAAAAAAAAAGGAGGCAAAACGACAAACCACACACAAAAAAATGAAAAATACAGGAAAAAAATAAAAACTTGGAAGAAAAAAAAAAAAGCCCACGGTCTTTCTAAGCCTTTCTATTCCCAATCGGTGAGGTTTCTGTGATATCTTACACACTGCCAGTCTACTTCTCTGACTAACGGAAAATCCATGTGTAGCTCAATAAAGAGAATGTTTGTCTGTACCGGTCTCCCACGCGCAGGCTCTGTTTGCACCGGACGGGGAGGGGGTTTGCGGGGCCGCAGATCCTGGGTGGCTGGCGGGCAAGGCTGGAGGTGGCAGAGAGAGAACCCACCCCGACCTCTCCCGTGTGCCCTCGGTGCCGCCATCAGGGGAGCCAGCTGGGTGCAAGGACAGCAGAGGAATGGCCAGCCTGCCCACAGGTGCCGCTTCCTCCAGGCTCCGGGCTCCCAGCTCCTCGAGTGCAGCTGGCTTTGCTTGTTTCTGAGGGCAGCATGGGGTCGAGGATTGGGAAAGGGAAAAAGCTGGGAGGGCGGGTAACCCCAAACCGGCTAGCACAGGCTCCTGTTCCTCCTGTACCCACTGGCTGCACAGCAGGAAGAGGATGGGTGGTCCCAAGGAGGCCAAATTGCCTAGACCCTCTGCCCCCAATTGGACACCTTTATTTTTTTTTTTACATATATTTTTTAATTGATTTCAGAGGGGGAGGGAGAGAGAAACATCAATGATGAGAATCATGGATCGGCTGCCTCCTGCACGCCCCCTACTGGGAATCTGGCCCAAAACCCTGGTGAGTGCCCTGACGGAATCAAACCGTGACCTCCTGGTTCATAGGTCGATGCTCGACCACCAAGCCACGCCGGCCGGGCCACCTGGCCATCTTTAAAAGCCTGCTACTGCACCTGGTAGCTGATCTTCCCTGTGGGGAGAGAACCTGCCAGAACACAGCTCCCTCTTAGCAACCTTGAGCTGTGCCGTATGCTGTGGCCGGAGTGCAACCTTCCCATCAGCAGGGCTGGCCTGGGCCACCAAGCCACCCTGAGAGGGCCACGTCTGCTGGCACGCTGGGTGCACAGCTCAAGTGGGAAATGAGGCCCAGTGGCCACCTGGGGACCTTGAACTTGTAGCAACACAAAACGTCCACATAAAAGCCGCAAAACTTGGGGTGGGGGAGGGGGCCCAAACCCAGTATCTCAACAAGTAGGGCCCTACAAGGAGAGGGAAGGAGTAATATAGACCACCTCCAAAGCACACAGGCTCCTCTCCCCGGGAGAGGCCATGGGATAGAGCGCCGAGGGGACTGGTCTAGCTCCTGCCACTGCCCTTTGCATCTATGCCAGACACCCCCGAGAAGTGACAGAAGCCGAGTGGGTGGTACCCAGAATCCTCAGCTATCTAGCGGTGAGTCTAGAATTTCTCTCCTGGGTAACCAGAAGCTGTGTAAGGCCCCATGCCCAGCTCCATCACCGTCACACTGCCAGGGGCCACTGTTTCAAGACCTCAAACTGCCTTCAGACAACTCCTCCGCTCACACATCTGAAACACGCAACGCCATCTTCAACCAGCGCCACCCGCAGGCGTAAGGATGGGAAACCCTCCCCCCCAAGACATGGGCACACCATCCACATGGGACCGAGCACGGCTCTGCTGGAAGCCTCGCCTCAGCTCCAGCCGCACACAGCACACTAAGGATCCAGTTTGCTTTTTATTATTATTGTTGTTGTTTTACAATAAAAACAAGTAGCTATGCTCTCAGCAAAACAAAACACATTTTGTTTTTTTTAAAAATCACAGAAATGTACTAACAGCATTTCAAAGGTAAGGCTTCTGAAAGGTTTATTGAAATAAATTATCTTGGCCTAGACATTGACTCATCACTTTTTTCAATTACTCTGCAGCATCCTAGAAACTTTCCGCTTAAAATACGTTTAACTTTGCCAATAATTTTAGGTAATACTGGATTCTCCCCCAAAGGACTACCGGTATCGTAACTGTTTTCAAACATTAAGGAGAAAAAAACAAACAACTTAATCTGATAGGACATAAAATTGAACTATGGAACCTATCACTGCATGTTTCAAATCCTTCCAGTTAACGTGGGATGAACTTGCAGAGGGCCAGGACCTGCGTCTGCTCCAAGCAGGTGCATGCCACATCTCACCTTCCCCGTTCTCGCCCACAGGACAGTGATGAGAATGAAGGCTCCAGAGAAGACAGAAAGGCAGCTTTTATTTCTCCAGCTTTTATTGCTGCCCTCCCATGTCCTCTCCGTCTCTAAGGCCCACGTTTCCTCCGAGGACAAACCCACAGCCGCTGGCAGTGCCTAATGCACTTGACCAAGGAATTCAAACCAGAAACCAGAGCCTGCTGCGCAACCCCTCCGGGCTGCCCCCCCACACACACACCCGGGGCCACCGACATGCAGAGGGGCCGACAGACGCACAGGGTGGGCACGGGAGATGCAGCAGCACCGGCATAAACGGAAATAAAACCAGCTTTGGTTGGGGCTCGGAAAGGAAGTCCCGGATGGCCTGGGACACAGGGGTCACCTGCTCACACGCTCCCCTGGCTGCTCCAGGTATCAAACCAAGAGTTATTTTTCCAAGATGCCCTGCCGGCCCCAGGGCCCCGAGGGCCCGGTTCCAGCCCCTGTACCCCTCTGAACGCCTCTAAGAACAGTATGAGACAGGCCCTCCCGTTGGGTGGCGTGGGCTCCCGCTGTACATCCCCCTCATCAGGAACTTCCTGCCAGGTCGGGGCTGAGAAGCCAGCACTGTGTGACTTATGCATAAAGCTGTCCCAAAGCTGCCGGCCTCGGACCTCTGGCTGCCCACTGCCCCCTGGCCTTCCCCACCCCCAGAAGCCCAGGCCCTGCCAGGAGAGATCGCGCCTAGAGTTAACATGTGCAGTGTTTCTAACGGGAGAAGAAATGTCACAGAGAAAGGGTTACAAAAGGGATTACATTTGTCAGCTGTCCGAACACTATGAAGACCACATGCTTTGTACAGCGGCGATGCAGTCAGGCCCGCGTAGGCGGCGGGCGGCGAGGCAGCCTCTCGGGCCGCTGCTCGGGGAGGCGGCTGAGCAGGCAGGAAGCGCTAGGAGGTCTGCTGCTTCTGAAGTCTCCGCTCCGCGGCCGCGGCCAGCATCCTCCGACGCAGGGTCACAGGGTCGGAGGGCACGCCTTCCGAGGCCAGGCAGCCCTCTGAGGCCGAGTCATCTTCAGAACTTCGGTTCAAGAACCGCCTTGAAAGCAAAGGACGGGCATGAGGCACGGGGAAAGCTCTGGAACAGACACAGACACACAGGATGCATCTCTTCTGCACCCCTCGTTTTCCAGGCGCCTTCACGGAGCTGTTACTCGGCTCTGCCCCAGGAGAGAGCCCGCCGAGCAGAGGAGGAGGCAGAGCTGTCCGTCCTCTGCTGTCCCCTCCACAGTCACACCCGGCACCAAGGCCCGCCCGGCTCGAATCGACACAGGCTGCACTGTCCCCAAGGCTTAACTACAAAGTCACAGGCACAGCCCAGGCTCCACTGCACCGATGCTCCGGGCTGAGCCACACGGCGTTAACCTCTCCACGTCTCGCCTGTTCCGCTATAAGCCTGCCAATGGGCACAATCACAGCGCTCCCTCCCAGAGCTGTCCAGAGAGTCCAAATAACGGATAGAAAGAGCTTGGAGCACGTGGCACAGAGTGCTGTCGGGTCCACGTGGCTGAGGATGCCCCAGAAGTCACCAGGAGAGCCAGCCCACTGCTACCGGTTAAGCCTGGCTGTCTAGGTGACGCGGAGGGTGTCCACGTTGGCCCCTGCTGAGGAGACCTGCCGTGGGCCGGCGTGACCGGGCTCCGGGGCTCCCGGGGCCCAGAGGGCCTCACCTGCGCGCCTGCTGCAGGAGGTCGTCCTTGCGCTGCACCAGCATGCGCTGCCGCTCGTCGGCCGACTTGGAGAAGCGGCTGCCCCGGGCCTCGAAGTCCTCCCCCTCGCTGGGCTCCGCCTCCGCCTCGCCGAAGTCCAGCGCCTCCTCCAGCCGGGGACTGAGGGCCAGCGGCACGCGCTCCGCCTGCCCAGGGGGAAGGAGGGGCCGGTGAGCCAGGCCGCCTCCCGGGCAGAGGCCCGCCTGGCCAGGGCCCCGGGGAGCCACCTGCTGGACCCACAGGAGGCCGCCATGGGGCGTGGGCACCAGTGACGGGGAACCTGACCCTCACTGAACAGGTAAACGATCACACCCACGCCTGGGGGCTGCACGCTTGGAAAGAAAACCGTTAACCACCACTTTGCATTCTGGGAATTTTCTGTTCAATTCTAATAACTGCTCTAAAATTTAAACGAGTCTTACCATGCTCACCACACAAATTTTATACCCCCTCCTGGCTCTGAAAACAGCCAAGCAGATAAAAAGGGTCAATTCTAAGGGTCTTTTTAAACAGATACAAGATCGTGTGGTTCCTGTGTAACAGGATGTAAACATGGATCCCCTCGGTTTGGACCCCCACATGCCCAAGCAGGTGCCAACCATGTACACTCCTGTGAGCAGACACGGCTGCCACCTCCAGGCCACGGCAGGGACGAGGGGAAGAGGCTGAGGACAGGCCTATGAGCTTCTCCGTCACCTGCACCCTCACCTCCCTCTGCCTCAGCCAAGCAGTGAGGAGACTTCAGAACAGTCCTAGGGTTTGGGCACAGAGGGACTGGCGGTAGCCAGCACACTGAGAAATCCGGGGAAAGAACTGGCTCACCGCAGATAACAGGCTGTGCGGAGAGCCAGTTTGAGTCACTGGCTCTGTGGATGGGCGGCAGGTATGGATCCTGCCCAAGAGAACCCCTCAGAGGGGGATGTGACCCCCACGAGCGGAGGGATGGCCATAAAGACTCAGCTCAAGTTCCCAAGTATAGTCAAGGTTTCTGGTACCCGATGGGGCAGGGAGATCTCAGGGAAAATGACAGACCCAGGGGCACACACACACACTGGGTCACATGGCCCATCCTAAGCTCTCTCTTCCTGAGGCTGACCCTACAGGAGGTCAGAAAGAACTGGTGGAGAGTGGAGGAGGAGGTGCATAGGTTGAGGGATTCACCTTGAACCCTGAGACAGATGGGGTGCACGCCCCCTTTTAGGCTCTTCCCGAGCCTCACGAACTCTATAAAAGGCAGAATTGAACACCACTGCCAGGCACACACAGCCCTCCCCAGCCTGGGACTCTCTCCCTCCCTCCCTCCCTTCCTCCCTCCTTTTCTCCCTCCGGCGTCAGGCCTCACCTGGGCCACCATCTCTCCCTCGTCCAGGTCGCCGTTCGGCCTGTCTGCAGGGCTGTTCAATGCGGGTCTGATGCCATCTGACCGCTGAAAGAGACAGCACCAGTCAGTCCGGAGCCATCCGAGCCTAAAGCGCAGCACAGGGAACACCCGGGGGCAGAGGAAGCTAAGGTCCCGCTGGTCTGAGCCCCAAGGCCTGCAGCACCGAGAAATGGAAACGCTGCTACGATTGCAGACTCAAAAAAAAAAAAATAATGATCTAAATACATCTGTTCCTGTCTTAATCAGAGCCTCTTGGGTCGGTCTGTTCTCAGTCATAATTTGGAAAGTCATTACAGAAACCATTCATTAAATCATAAATAATACGTAGTTGTTAAGGTAACAAAGTCTCTAGCGGATCAAATCTTTGTGAAGACAGAATCCCTTCGCCATGCTTAAGACCCCTGTTCACCTGTGTGGGAAAAGGTACTTGAATCCGTCCTTCTAGAATGTTGTCTGTGGTTATCTCAACCGAGCGTGTCAGCTGGAGGTCCTGCAGCACGAGCGGGTACGGGACCTGGGGGAACATCTCCTGGATCTGATGAGCCTGTAGGAACACAGAGGCAAAGGCCACGGACATGGTCACTCCACAGCGCCTCCCGGAGGGCCCGGTGTGGCAGGCTCCGGGCACCAAACTTGGCATCTGCCATGAAAGCAAAGGTAAGGAAGGGGCCGCTCCTCCTCTGCCGATCACCATGCAAACACACTCCCTTTTATACTTCTCCGGAATGCGACAGGTAACTGAGACATCGATTTGAAAATAAAGAGACAGAAGTCCAACTGGACCCTAACACAGGCTCAACGAGAATATTCCGGTTTTTAAAAGTGCGCATTAAGTTGGGTGTGAAAATGTGTTCTCTTTAAAGACATAGTTTCAAAAAGAAACAAATTTCTGACTCACACCCCATGGGTGAAATTCAAATGCATTATGTCACATGAAAGAATCCCGACTCAAAAATTCCATTTAAATGATGCTTTGGAATAGCAAAGTTATAGTGGTTGCCCGAGGGTGGAGGCGGGGAGAGAAAGTGATCACAAAGGGGCACCATGGAATGGGGGGTGAGGGGAGGGGAGTGGGACTGTTCTCTGTGTAGATAATGGTGGCAGGTACACAACTATGTGAGTTTGACAAAACGCACAGAACTGGATTCTGAAAAGGGTGAATTTACTCTATGTAAATAATACCTTAATTTGAATAAAAAGTTCGCCTTCAGAGCACTCACCCATCAGCATGACCTCATCTGTTTATAGTCAATCTGCCCAACTAGAATCACACTCCCACCTTGTTTACTTGTTTACATCATGTATCGCCTGTCGCAAGTTTTCATTACAAATTTGTTTAAAAAAATACATTAAGGTTAATGAATAAATGAGCAAATGACTAATGACCTGCTGAAGTACTGGGCAGGCTGACCACCGCCAGAGGTCCTATTCAAGAAGGACTAAGGTAGGATGCATGTTAACACTCCTGCATTTATTATCACAATGAAGACTCAATTTCAACCATGGTCCAACATGTTTCTCCAACACCGTAAAATAACTCACCATGTGATAAAGGTTAGAAAAAAGGCAAAGAATCTAGCCCTAGCCAGTTTGGCTCGGTGGATAGAGCATTAGCCTGGGACTGAAGGGTCCCAGGTTTGATTCCGGTCAAGGGCATGTGCCTGGGTTGTGGGCTTGATCCCCAGTGGGGGATGTACAGGAAGCAGCCAATCAATGGTTCTCTCTCATCACTGATCTTTCTATCCCTCTCGCCCTCTTCCTTCCTCTCTGAAGTCAATAAAAATATTAATTTTTTAATTAAAAATAAACATTTGTGATAAAAATAAATAAATAAAATAAACATTTGCTAGGCCTAGCACAATAGTTAATAAAAGGCATGTCATTCACTCCAGTCAATAATTCCCCCACTAACTATTTTGGCTAAAAAATCAGGAGAGTCCAAGATTGGCCTAGATCATGACAGAATGAACTTCGCAGTACCCAGAAAAGGATCTACCACAAAGTAAAAAAGGATTTTGCAAACCAATTTCAAAATGTAAAACACAGGAATCTGAGTGATCTCAGTGAATAACTAAAATGCCCCTAAAAGCCCTGCCACTCTGCCAGAGCGAAGTCAGGACCAACCAGGTCGCTCTCTGCACATGTGTCTAACCCCCTCCCACCCCTCCGCCATCACTAAGCCTCTTCTCGGAGCAGCCGCAGGCCTTACCATTGCGTTCAGCTGGGAGTTGCTCGCCTGCGTGATGCCTAGGATGTTGGTGGTGTGCATCACTTCCACTGAAAAGCTCGGCAGCCAGCTTGCAATCCGGGACCCTGAAACAGAGACAGCACGGGGTAGAGACCCGAACAGCACTCCTCCTGAGAGCATGCCGGGAGAAATCGGACAGCGTGAACCACAGGATGAACCACAGCCCATAACATGGTGCCCAAGGCCTTGGAATTCTATAAGTGTGGTTCTTATCCTTGCTCCTCTCCCCGCTGCTGGGAGGCAGGGTGTTGGTATCTGTGGGCAAACAAGCAGGGCTCCGACTCTGCTTCTGCTTCAGACACCACTGGAAAGGTCGCTCCGTGACCCTGCGTCCCAGGCCTGAGCGCTATCCCAATGAACAAACTGTTAGCAGCGGTGAGCTAGTGCAGTGGTCAGAGAGCTTCTGCAGGCACGGCTGAGTCCATTTCACTCCTCCTCCTCCCTGCCCGGCCAGCCACCTTCACACAGAACCTAGCAGAATGCCTGTCACACAATAACCCCTCAGCGCTACCAATACCTTCTGAGCGTTCTCAATTAAAGCTGAAATACTGTGTTACCACGGCCTGTAGGGGCGGTTTATGACTGACACAGCACCAGCCCCTCGGGCACTGTGCCGAAGGTGGAAGCCCGCTCACCGTCAAAGTGGAAAAAGTGGTTGTGCTGGTTCAGGCGGGGTCTGCCTTCGGCGGCGGCCACGGGAACCAGGTTCTCATCCAGGTTCTCTCCCGGATGGTCCTCCCGGACGCGGTTGTTGTCGGCGATGTTCAGAGACATTCTGCACGTCGGGCAGGAGGTGTCTTGTTCCAGCCAGGAGCGGAGACAGGAGCTGCCAAACGGGCAAAATCCCATCTCCTTAGCGTGTTTTGTGAGGACTCACCAGAAGTACTCTGAATGCATCCAACGTGTTGTCATTTTACTTCTATTTACCACGAGGTGAGATTTACATGTGGAGAAACATCTGCTGACATTAGCTCTTCACTCTAACATACTTCTAGGATGTTCAGCTGTGAACATTAATTCATTCACATACATGGTGACCCTTCTCCAATACTTCATCACGTGCTCACCATCTCCCTTCCCAGCCCTAAGTGAGCACCTGACAATGCACGTGGCTGGATTATTCCCTGCTCCAACGATCCGTTAGCTGCCCACTAGTGCCGTCATAACCTTGGCCTTCTCTCCACCATCCTGAAGGGCACCTGGTCAGTCTGAGGTACCGTCCCCACTCCCCTGCTAGGATTCGCACTGAGCCCGGCACAAAGCACCCGCACGCCCCGGCAGAATGCCAACCCCGCGTGGCCCTCCCGGAGCGCCTACTTGTGGAAGAGATGGCCGCAGGGCAGCTTGCGTGCAGCCTGCATAGAGTCCCAGCAGATGGCACAGTCATCATTGTTGACAGCCAGCTCCTCTGGAGTTGCAACTGCAAACCTGCGAACGATAGAATGTGCGGCAGGAATCAATTCCCAGCGCACTCCCAGCACCCTGTGCGGACAGGAGGGGTCTGTTCTGGCCGGGAGCTTGTCTGTGGGCACAGTCACAGAGGAACCCAGTAAGACACTGCCATCAAAAAGAGTACACCCGCTTTCCTTCATGGCCTAGCCAAGAGCAAGGGAGGGATTTATAGGCAGAAACGCTGTCCTTCTGCTGGTGATGACTTCAGGAGAGGAGTGAAGACCCCCCCCAAAGAGTCCCTCGAGCACAAAGAGGGTCCCCATTAATCTCACCCTTTTAGGCTTGTTTAGCCTCAGGCTGGCAAGTGAGTGGTCCCTTCAATGAGGATAAGCGTGTATGTGTGTGCTTGTGTGTGCGCGTGCGCATGTGTGTGTGATAAATACACACGAGTAAAGAATAAGTGAGACCCACATTTTTAAAATGAGGATAGATGCCCAAGGAAGCTCCCGTATAATGATGATAATGATAAAAGGGACATAATAAGAAGAACTAATATTTACTTAGGGTGGTAAACATACGATACAATATACAGATGATTATTAAAGCATTGTATACGTGAATCCTATATAATTTTATTAACCAATGTCACCCCAATAAATTCAACAGAAAAAAAAGAACCTAGTATTTACTGAGCACGTGCTGCGTACGCAGTTCTAGAACATTCTAAGTTGATTGCAACTATCCTCCCATGAATCCTGCCAGCAGTTCCAGGAGGAGGTTTTGCTCTCATCCCGAGAGGAAACACACACGGAGTCAATGACCCGCTCACACCACAGGCAGGTGGGGGATGCACCGCCAGGCAGACCGGCTCCGGAGCCTGCAATCCTCCCCATCCTGTCACCGGTTCCCAGCACGTTCCCATCTAGCCGGGCCCGGTTACCATTGGAGGGCGAACCTGAGACAGCGCGGGCCATGTCAACTGTGCTCACTCACCTGGCCTCCATGTTCCCAACCACGTGCAAGTAGTTCTTGTGCCGGCGGATCCGGCGCTGCACCTCATGGAACAGGTACCGCAGCTGCATGAAGATGACCAGGCTGGCCATGGACAGCCAGATGTTGCCAAATAACTAACCAGAGGGGAAGAGAGTAAAGTACACATGAAAAATGAATGGAGGTGAGGGGTGCACCAGAAGCTCTAATTGTTATGCTATGATCCTTAAATGGTCAACCAGCAGTTTCCCTCACTAATGTACAAAGCAGGGTTCCTGGTTCTGAGAAAACTCACCAGCATGTGGATGTGATGCATGAGGTCCAGAGACAAGAGAGTGAGCTCCATGACAAAATCCGTGTAATAGACATACGTCCCCTTCCCTTCCCACGTCCCCTCGTGATTGAGGTCCCAAAGGTGGATCACGTATCTGCAATGAACACAGGAAAATCGCCTCAATATTCTTTTGTTACAACTGAATTTGGTTTAGACATGATATAGGACAGTCACATTTTAATACATTTTATATCTTAAAATCTACTGTATGGATAGATCGCAATCACCTCCCTCCCGAATTTCTACTCACCGCAAAATCACATGAGCAGTCCTCACTGTGACAAGAAGGGACTGTAAAAAAAAAACAAAGTCATGTTTTTCTTTTTAGTCCAATTTAGGATTCCTCTTACTTTTACAAGATGATAAAAGTCAAACATTGCTCAGTTCAATTTAAAAGCAGGTTGTCAAGGGCGGTGGGGTGGGGAACTGGCTGAAGGGGGTCTAAAGGTACACATTTCCAGTTATAAAAATAAGCCCTAGGGATGTAATGTACACGGACTCTGGTTGACACTGCTGTGTGCTATGTTAGTATTTGAAAGTTGAGACGAGAACAGATCCTGAAAGTTCTCATCACAAGGAAAAAGACAGTTTTGGTGTCGGTGTGAGATGATGGATGTTAACGACATTTATTATGATAACCATTTCACAGTACATGAAGTCAAGTCATGATGCTGTTCACCTAAGCGTATACAGCACCGGGTGTCACTATACCTCGATAAAACAAGAAGGAAAAAGAGCAGGTGGTTCAAGTTTATCAACTTTTTTCTTTCATCTGCTTCCGATCTCCACGGACCATTTTCATCATCTAGCAACCCTGCTCCTCTGAACCCTTTCCTAGTGACAGGTGACAATCAATTACGCCTGTCCATCGCCGGCGGCCGCCTTCTACACTCTGAAGTCACCCTAGTGGTGGAGGGTCACTGCTGTTTTATGCGGCGTGCGGTTACACTGCTCATTACCTAAGAAGGTTTATGGCACTGGTGACCCCACACCCAAAGTATAGTTCAGACAGCACTCTCCGAGGTATGAGCGCCTGCTCTCCACACAACGCTGTGTGTGCTCCCTCTGCCCACGGGGAAGAAAAGAGAATAAAGGAAGCAAAACAAAATAAACCCTTGTGGTCTTTGTATTATAGAAATTAAGATTTTCCTCTTAATCGACCAGAACTGTTTAATTAATATTTGAGATTGGGACACTCCCAGTTATAAATGTAAAATATTTTACCCTACATAGAAGAGAAACATTATAAATTAAAAATATAATTTAGCTCAAAATAGCAAATCTATAGCGTGACAAATTATCTTAATAAACAGTAATGAACAAAAATAAAATATGTACGATAGTATGATCCATAGGCCTAATTTAAGTGTCTTCATTTTTAGGTATACCTTGTTCAAAGGTTGGCTTAATATTAATTAAAGAGAGCCAAAAAAAGAAAAACACAATATTATTCTAATGATGGTTTATAATAAAATATATTTAAAATAAGCTAATTAACATAAGTAAGTGTAAAGTTTTAGACAGATATTTTTCAAGAGAAAATATAGGCCCAGCTGGCATGGCTCAGTGGTTGAGCATCAACATACGAACCAGGAAGTTATGGTTCGATTCCCGGTCAAGGTACATGCCTAGATTGCAGGCTTACCCTCCAGAGGGGGAGTGCAAGAGCCAGCGATCAATGACTCTCTCTCATCATTGATTTTTCTATGTCTCTCTCCCTTGCCCTTCCTCTTTGAAATCAATAAAAATATTTTTAAGAGAGAAAATATGGTTGCATACTTTTTACATGTAGAAAGTATTCAACCAGGATTATAAATGTTTTTATTAAGTACTTAAATGTTCCTTTTCTAATTTTACTTACACTACTATATTATACTCAAAATTGAACTCTATTAAGCTAAAAAAAATTTTTTTATTATAAACATAAAAATGTTAACCCTATTCCAACAAATTCCCAATTAGTACTTCAAACTTAGTGTTTTTGGTATTAGCTTATCAGCCTTAATATATTTATTATTTCTCTTTTTTCTCATTAATAATAGCTATTACAGACAACATAAAAAGTCTTTTGTCTTCAGAATGTAAGCACAGAGAATTTTGACTTCTATTGAGTAAAAATCGATTCTTTTGAGAAAGGTCTAAAAAGCAAATTTTAAAATATACATGAACATCAAATTATCCATTCAAAATAATAGATTTTAAATATTATATTACTCTATAAAATCTCAATTCCTGCCTACCTAAGAAAAAACAAGCAGAGTGCTCCTTTTTACTTACTACTAATCAGAGTTTATGGTGTCTTAAGGGAAAACCTTCCTACTTGCGAGTCTCTGGAGTTAGACTGTGCCACTTGCCACTCCGGAGCCTTAGCAATTCGCTCCACCCTCTACGCCCGGTTCCCGTTCATGAACAGGAAGAATGAAATGAGGAAGCACATGCAAAAATGAATCAGTGCAGGTAAGGCACTTAGAACGACTCCTAGGATATAGTAAGCTCTACTTACATGATGGCAAAAATGACCACTTTTAATTAGATTGTAGAACGAATTACATGAAACAACACAAATAGAAGCAGTCAGTACCAGTACCCAACACAAAACAGACTCAAAAAATGCTCGTTAAAATGTAAGACAGGCCAAGACCGGTTTGGCTCAATGGATAGAGCGTCGGCTTGGGGACTGAAGGGTCCCGGGTTCGATTCCAGTCAAGGGCATGTACCTTGGTTGCGGGCATATCCCCAGTAGGGGGTGTGCAAGAGGCAGCTGATCGATGACTCTCTCTCATCGATGTTTCTAACTCTCTATCTCTCTCCCTTCCTCTCTGTACAAAATCAATAAAATATATTAAAAAAAAAAAAAAATGAAAGACAGATGTCCATCAGTCACTTCCTGGGTGCAAATACCCGTCGATACTCCCGTGGCTTCCCTGAAAGTGTGCAGAAATGGGACGAGAGAAAAGCCCGGGTGCCTCTCACCTCCACGGCCATGAAGGCCAGCGTGTGCATGCCGTGGATGTAGCCGGTGACGCAGCAGATGACGGCGAGCCCGCAGCAGGACAGCAGCATTGCCAGGAGCAGGGCCAGCACCCGGCCATGGCTGCTCATCGGGGTGGTGGGAGAAAAGGAGAGCTGAAACGTACAGACAGAGAAGGAGCTCATTCCTCTTCGCAGCGGTGAGAAACTCAAGGTTAACCTTGGTGGCTTTGCTTGGGGATCCATGCTTAGCTGTGCGGCCCAATGGGAATCACAGAAAAGCATCCCATTATCAGATGGCCAAGTCCTCCAATCATGCAAAATATGAGCATGAGCTGAAGTGTTGAGACCTTTATTTATCATTTAGCCTACTGCATACAACAATACACGTTATGTTTTCATCTCAAATCCTCAAGGATCCTCTGACCAGTGGGATTATAAGGCTCTAGAAGCAATTTCCAGAGGCACGTAATCCCCTCTTCTAACATGTAACAGGGCTCAGCACAGCACCACTCCTGTTGTTTCTTTCTGATCTTGCTCCAGCAGTTGTCCATGGTCCGTCAGGTCTAGGACAACTGTAATGGACCCAGGTGCAGCCTTCTACTGTAATGCTATGCTAATATATGCAAGGAGAGGCAACAGCTGGGAAAAGAAGGCCCGGAGCTGTAGGCCTGACAGGAAGGTGTAGACAGCAAACCCGTTAGGGAGGTTGAGTTGTGGAAGCCTGTGAGAGCGAACTAACTCACACAGAGGTGCAAGAGCCGCTGGCCCAGGATGACGGGTAAAGAAAGGGCAGACAGCCAGAACCGGTTTGTGGATAGAGCATCAGCCTGCGGACTGAAGGGTCCCAGGTTCGATTCCAGTCAAGGGCATGTACCTTGGTTGCAGGCACATCCTTGGCAGGGGGTGTGCAGGAGGCAGCTGGTCGATGGTTCTCTCTCATCAATGTTTCTAGCTCTCTATCCCTCTCCCTTCCTCTCTGTAAAAAATCAATAAAAAATATATTTTATAAAAAAAATTTAAAAAAAGGCAAACCAGGCCCCGGAGGGGTTAAACTGGAGGCCGAACTGGAGGTTTTTCCAGGTTCATGAAAGGAGTTGGGGAGCACTCAGGATTGAGGGTCCGCCTGCAGAGCTCTGATCTGACTGACCCAAAGCCATGACGCAGGTCTTGTGCCCAGATAGGAAAGGACTCGCTTCTCCTGGGACCGAGGAAACCAGAGAGCTAATTCAGGCCTTGCCCGGGGGTGGAAACAGTGGAAACTAATCAGCATGAGAGCTCCAAGCAGCAGACCAAGAGGGAGGAAATGGAAGGGGACTAGCAGATTTCTGGAAGAGACCAGCTTTTACTCAGTTTACACATTAAGGTTTCTTGGGCTGTGACAGAAACAGTTTGTGTAGGTGAACGGGCCCCATGTGGGCTGTCATGTAACACATGACTAGATGGGGAGAAACCCCCCCCCCCCCCATGAGACACTGATCCCGCATTCCTTAGCTGCTGCAGAGAGTCCCTCAGAATTCCTTTCATGGGGCCCTCGCCGGTTTGGCTCAGTAGATAGAGCATCGGCCTGCGGACCAAAGGGACCTGAATTCTATTCCGGTCTCTCCCTCTCTCTTCCACTCTCTCTAAAAATTAGTGGGAAAATATCCTCGGGTGAAGATTAACAACAACAAAAAGAAACAAAAGAAACAGTCAGTGGTTGAGAACCCACAGGCTGAGAACTGCTGCTATAGAGCCTAAGACCGTCGGAAAACACAGATATTTCCATTACAATTCATGAACAGTAGCAACAGTACAGTTATGAAGCAGCAACGAAGATAATTTTATGGTTGGGGGTCACCACCACGTGAGGAGCTGTGTTAAAGGGTCGAGGCATCAGGAAGGGGGAGAACCACTGCCCTGGAGAGCCACCCCAACACGCCTCATGTGGCTCCTTCACAGTAAAGGACATAAACCTGGCAGAAGGGCAGCGCAGCGAGCACAGGGCGCGGCTGAACACTCACATATTCAAACCGGTCCTTGCAGAGCTGAACCATCAGGTGCAGGAAGACCAGCCCGGCGAACCAGAGGCACCACATGACCACCTCTCCCACGGTCTGGACATTGAGCACGCCGAAAATGAAAATGAACTTGTAGAAAATAAAATTCCAGAACTTGTCTTTGAGGTGCTGAAAAGAGAAAGGTTTACAAAGGTTAGTACCATCCCATCTGACCAGATGAAGAGAAGTTAACGTAACAAAAGGCTGACTTCTGGGGAGAAAAATATTCTATTCTCAGCTCGGTCACTTGTCCACAGAAAATAAAAGACAAAGGGAAAAAACAACCCCTCTGAAGAACAGAGAAGTCACCTTGAAAGTAATTTGCAAGTTTTGGGGTGCAATCCTAAATCACGTAAGGAATTTTAGCCACCAAAAGGGGAGAGCTGTTAGCATAGTGCCTTGTCAATTAAGTAGCACATATACTTCCAACGCAAAACAGAAAGAATGGTGGGGGCTACAGCACTTTCCCCATGTTTGCTCTCTGGATTCTTAGAACAAACAGTAGAAAAAATTAGACTTTTTTTAAACTCCTTCAGATTCAAGAATAACATAAGCTCAGTGGGCAGCCCACAATCAATGTAAGTACAAAAAAAAATGCACAACAAACAGGCATCAGCTTTAACATTTCACTTATCACATGTAAGAACCTTCCCAATGTCAGTGAATAATTTCTGAATATATCATTTAAGTGGTTACAGATGAACACGGAAACTGGTTGTAGTTTTCGCCATTCAGAGAGCGGTGTGATGAATGTCTGTCTGAGCGGCTACGTCTTCACCATCATCGAAGCCTCCAGACTTCCAAAGAAGCCATGGAAGTCACATCCCGTGACCAGGGCACGTCTGCCTCACTGTGCTCTCCCCGCCGACATGAGGACTACCAGCTTTAAATCTCTCCTATACTGGTCCTGGCAGGTGTGGCTCAGTGGATTGGGCACTGTCCTGGGCACCGAAAGATTGCCAGTTTGGTTCCTGGTCAGGGCACAAGCCTGGGTTGCAGGTTCGATCCCTGGTCAGGGTGCATCCAGAAGGCAACTGATCTCTGTTTCTCTCTCACATCAAAGTTTCTCTGTCTCTCTCTGTCTCTCCCCCACTTCCTCTCTCTCTCACCACTTCAATGGAAACATACTTTTAAAAAACTCTTTCCTGTACTGCAAACCGGGCGATGAGGGGCATCTAGCCAACAGATATTAAAATATACTACCAGGCCATCTATGGGAGTGATGGGATAAAAATGTCACTTCTAAGTATACTTTCTATATAGCTTTGAATCATGTAAATGTTTCCCAAAGTCAAAAATTAAAACAGAAAAAGCAAAAGTGAATAAAAGCTGAACTTGAACCTAAGTGTGTAACAACTTGACACAGAAGCCTTGTGGGAGAGGGAAGAACTCTCCGGGGAGCGTTTACGATGGCACTGACTGTACCGCTCTGACCAGAGAGCGGAGGACCAGAGTCCTCGGAGGGAGTCTGGGGCAGGGAAAGGGCACGGTGAGCCTAGCACAGTGTGTGCCCAGGCGTGACTCCTCCCCCGCCACCTGTCTGCTGGGTGACTCTGGGGAAGTCACCTAACATCTCCTACACCACGGGGCTTTTCATGGCTTACAGCTCATCCTCATAAAACGCTGGGGAACTAAGTTAACTTATGTACAGTGCTCAGGCAAGTGCCATCACGGGCAGTTAGTGTTTTAAAAACATCCCGGTTCTAAACCTCCCCTTTACAGTTGAACATCTGTCCCATTTCCGGTTGTCTGTGCCTCTGGCATTCCTCTAGTCTTGAACTGGAAGCACTCACAGGGCAAACCCATGTCAATTCTGCTGAGTCCTAACTCAAACTAATGCTTCATAAATGCTACTGGATGGCTTTGGTCAAAAAGTCACCACAGACCCGCAGGAAGATGTTCTCTCCACTGAAAAAAACGGAACACGGAGCTGAGTCACAAATGTGTCCATTATGATCACCGCTAGGCCTTGAAAAACTCTCTGGAACACTCCGAGGTTGTTTTCTGTACGTTTCAAACTGATACTTAACGTTTCAGAAAAAAGAAAGCGATAGCATCTCAGGCCCACGGTGCCAGCTCAGTCCATCAGCAGTTAGATGGCTTGCCTGGCTGACCAACTTCTGACCCACAAGTCAAAGGTTTTTCTTAAAGAAGAAAGCATCAAAAGCAGCTTTGTATCCTCAAAAAAAAAAAAGCCTACATTCCACTGATCCCATCTGGAGTTGATATTTTGCAGAAAGTGATGATACTCATGCAAAGTCTCTGGGAAAACACAGTCCTGCTCATAACAGCACCCAGGAGCCCCGCCCCCACAGAGAGAGCGTTTCAGCTCGGAACTGAGGGCTTGCTGATCTGATAACAGGAGATCTGGGTTGAAAAGGGTAAGGAAGGAGGGAAGCCATTGTACTCTGAATGGAGTAGGTTCCTGTGTCTCACCGCTGAGATGAGATAAAGTTAAAATAACAGTTTTGTTTGTATGTTGTTATTTCAGCGGCCAGCTCTAAATTCTTATTTTTAAAACACAGCATTCTGTACTCTATCCACTAAAAGCTTTGGGGGATGGCTGATCTGCGCAGTATATTGTGGAATCATTCTTTATTGAAAGCATATCCTGTTCACATAATGCATTCTGAGAACAATGTTCAGTCAGACTGTCTCACCTAAAAGAAGAAATCACCTACTTTCCTGCTGGTAGAACAGTCCTACATTACTTTTCCAAGGGGAAAAACTAAGATCTCTCAGTAAGTTCCTTTGGCAAAGACTCCCATACTTTAAAGACTGATAGTTATGATTATTCAAACTAAAATCTATGCGTCTTTTAAAACTACATTCATAAAAGTCCTGGGGAAAGCAGCTATAAATAATATCGGGACAACTTGGCTACATTGAATATGGACTGTGGATTATGTAAAGCATTAGAGGCCTGTTGCACGATATTCATGCAAGGATAGGCCTTCCTTCCCCTGGCTTCACTCCCAGTCACCCGGGAGCCGGCAAGTCCTCGCTTCTGTCTGGAGCACCACTCCATTAGCTCCCTCCACCACCTCCCTTCCCCACATAGCAGGCTTCACTCCACTCTGCACCTGGATATGCAAATTAGCCTCCATCTTTGTTGGTTTAATTTGCATACTCAGTCTGATTGGCTGTGGGTGTAGCGGAGTGATGGTTAATTTGCATGTTTCTCTTTTATTAGGTAAGGAAATTTTTACCAATGCTGAACTTCCTGATTTTGACCATTGTGCTCCAGTTTTACGAGAAAATGTCCTTGCCCTTCGGAAATACACACTGAAGTATTTGGAGAGCATGGTTGATGACTACAACTTACTCTTACACAGATCACAAAAAATAAGTATATAGAATCAATAGGCAAATGTTAATGCAAATGAGACAAAATGTTAACTCTGAGTCAAGTTCTTTGTAGCATTCATGCAACTTTCCTGGAAATTTGAAATTATATCAACTAAAAAAACAGATCTGGTCGTAAGAATCCATCCTTGCCGTCCGGACTTACCTGTCTCTCGCTCACTCGAAGAGGGCCGAACACAATGCATTGGATTAGCTTAGCCATCAGCATCAAGACACAGCAAGCAGTGTTGACTAGAACCTGCACACAAACCAGAGAAAGAAAGTTCGTTTCCTTCTGTTGTTAGGAATCCAGCCATCATTTCCGCTGGCTGAGCCTTTCCGGTTCTCTATCTGCACAAGATAGGTAAGATCCGAAGGGCACATGTTTACAAGGTTGTGTGGGTATAGGAGAGGGAGGAGACGCCAGGAAATTCAGAGGCCTGACCCAAAATGTACCCTCCAGAGGCCACGGCCCCCTTTAGTCCTAACCAAAACATGTGTAAATTTTGTACTGCCTGTGTAAGCTCTGTGTACCTTACAAACTGTAGGTACATCATTTCCTACATTAAGATTTTGATAGCCGCAAAGAAGTTTTCTAGAAAGTGAGGTTTATCATGAACAGCAGAATTCAGTACCCAAATACCCGGCCCTGCCTGTCAAACAGTTAGGAGGTGGTCACAAGAGTCACAAGAGCATTAAGAATTGAGAATCAAAATACACGTGTATATTCATCTTAATGGGGTGATCTGCCAATCAAAGGTACTCTCTGCTTACTGTTGGCCTTAAAGTCAAGGTTCAGGGACAAGAGAAGGGATTGGAAAATAAACCAGGAAGGAGGGAGAAGAAAACCAGCAGGAGGGACCGGGAACTGAAAGGCAACCATGAAACACCAATGCAAAATCAAGGCCTTCTTCAACAGCAGGTGGGCAATTTTTTAAATAAATGTCGGTTTGGGTCGATGTTTGAATGATGACCTATGAACCAGGAGGTCAAGATTCAATACCTGGTCAGGGCACATGTACCCAATAGGGGGGATATAGGCGGCAGCCAATCAATGATTCTCTCATCATTGATGTTTCTCTCTCTCTCTCTCTCAAATCAATAAAAATATAATTTTTAAAATAAATAAGAGATGGAGAAATCTAATGCTTAACAAAATGAAAGGGTGGGCTGCCCCTGACCCTAAGGCTAATGTGGCGCAACACATTCCTGGTGCTCAAATGATTTTTAAAACACTGCATGACCCCAAAAAGCCAAAAGAACCTAGAGAGAGAGAGTCAAGATGGCTTTCATTAGAGCAAATGAAAATGAACACCAACTCAAAGTAAAGCTTGCTTCAGTGTTTGATTCACTAAGTTTACATTAAGGTGGCCATATTCCTCTTCCCAGGTCATTTTCCCCTCTACTTTTAAAAGAAGCAAATATAATGTTTGTTTTTACTGGAAAAGGAAGGGAGGGAGGAAGGAAGGGAGGGAGGGAAGGAAGGAGGGGCCAGAGAGAGTAATGTTAAGGAAGCAAGCTCCCTAAGCTCTCTCCAGGTTCCCCCGAGCATCTCACATCGTCCCCCCTTTGTCAGAACAGCCCTCATTCATTAGGAAAATATTAAATTATGTTTGGTTCTATTCTGCCTGCCTAATGGGGCAAGGAAGTGTGTGACACATTTGTAAAGAACTGAATCAAAAATAGTTCTGCTGAAAATAGAAACTGTTGTGGTAATTAAATCTTTCAAATAACGGGGGGGGGGGAATCTCCAATTAGTTACCCAAAACATCCTGTATCCCTGACTTAGGACTCTCAGTAGAACAGCCCATTCAACAATTCCAACTAATGGCTGAGGATCCTAATTTTCAAGGCAATGAAATAAATAGGTATTAAAAAGCTCGCCTCCATTGTGCTTCTAAACCAGTCAAGGGAACTGTCTCTCACATTAAGAAAATCGTCCTAAGCCAAAACCACAACCACAACCCCTCAAGCTACATCCCCCAGCTGAACAAGTTAAAATCAAGTCCAAAGTGCCCTCACCGAACTACTGCAGGCTTTTAAAAAAGAGTTCTTCCTGCTTTTGCACGCGGGCATGTGAAATGAAATGAACCGGACACATTTAGCACCTCCAGCCAAAGAGCCTTTAAAATCTACGCGACACAGAGCTTGGAGACATCGAAAGAGCAGGCTGCTATGTGAGCAAAGGAAAGAAATCAAATTCAGAATTGCTTAAGAACTGCTCTACCCAAAACAGCATTCTCCAGCATCTTGGACTACAAAACAAAAAAAAATGTGTTGCTCCTATTTCTCAGTTAAACTTTTTAAAGGAAGGTTTTCTAAATTCAAAGAAAGGTGTATAAATTTTGTATCTTTGATTTTTTTAAAATAAGAGCTCAAAACAAAAAGCCCTCATCATCCCATCACCCACACATTATCATTTCTTATTTTAAAATACATATATTTTATTGATCTCAGAGAGGAAGGGAGGAGAGAGAGAAACATCAATGATGAGAATCACTGATTGGTTGCCTTCTGCATGCTCCCTATTAGGGACATGTGCCCTGACTGTGACATCCTGGTTCACAAGTCGACTTCAACCACTGAGCCACACCTGCTGGGCTCCTATTTTAATTTCAATGGCAGAGTTAAATGTCAGCAAGGTTGAGAAGTGTGGACCCTGAGAAAGAAGATACTAAGAAGGGTTCCTGGTGAGTAAGAGGGCTCAAATGCAAAAGCAGAGCATAGCACCCACTCCTAAACAGGGTCCTCTTCACCCAAATTGTACCTAGGGGAGAAGTATCTGCAGGCACGGTGTTCCTGTTCTTGAACCAGTCCTTATAAAGGAGTTCCTGGAGACCTATTTCAACCAATAGGACGAAGGCATTCCCAATCTATTCAGAGCTGTGAAGCTCTATCGCCATCAGCATCTTCACCAACCAATCAGAGTGGCTCCATTCTGACCAATCAGGACAGTGCCTTTTGGACCAATCAAACCATGAGGATGTGGAGTCCTCATTTGCATGAAAACAGAAAGTCAGCTGCACTCTGACACAGGGAGTTCACTCTCTCTTTCCACTGGGGAGTGAAGATGGTGTCTCTGACTCTGGAGCAGACCAGACTGGAGCAGAGCAGAGCTGTCCAGCTGGAAGGGGCCTCACCCCACGGCCATCTCACAGCCTTGCTTCCTCATTGAGCTGTGGCGCCCCTGGGCTGTCCCACAGCTGCTGTTCTCAGCCCTGTTGTATCATAACTGAGCTGTTACACTGAATAAAATCTCCTTCTTCATTGCACCTCAAATTGGGGATTCCTGTTGGCACTGAATGAGCGCCAACTACAATCAGCTGGCAGAGGAAAAAAAGGCTTGAGAAACTATACAGATACTAGAAAGGAGGTTTTGTAAAAAGAAAGAGATGCCATTTGCGAACTTTATAGAAAAGCTTAAACTACGTAAGACTGGAAGCAACTAAAACTTTATAGGGAGGTGTCTTAATTTCACAAATATTGTGTCAATCCAAAAAGGATAGGATAAATTCTCTACTTTAGAAACTAAATTACAAGCTGGTTTGACCTTCGAGGAAAGGAGAAGAGGGTGATAACACGCGGCTTAGCCACGTCTATCACGGTGTAACCTTGGAGGTATTTTTCATTCGGTAAAATGCTGGCCACCCAGGGGCCTTATTTATGAGCTTGTGATGAAATGCAGTTCAACTACCAGGAACTGCTTCAAGGGCGTGACGAACATGGACATTTCTTAGTCTATTTAACACCAGCATTAACGACTGCACCCCCACACACCATTTGTCTGTCTCTCCCTTTAAGGACAAGTGGAACACATTACACCTCTCTGCAGCCTCCCAGTGACAAGGATAAGATGCCAATAACATGCAGAGAGGCATATGGCCCCTTACTGCACTTGTACTCCCCTTCTCGCAATACTGGGGAAATGGATGAGGTTATGTACGCAAAGCACTCAGTACACATCCAGCCAGTAACCAAACAGCAGTCTCTTCCTCCCGATCTGGAAGATTCCTCCTATATTAAATTGTTTGTTGAGGCTTATATCCTATTATTTATGAGTAGTCTCTACACCTCCAGTATTTATGGAGTTAACATTTTTCTCGAATTTTCTTTGGAATATTCAACTCCTACAGACGCAAGCCTGGTAAGTTATTTTCAGTTCTGAAGTTGTATCGTTATGTGAAGATGGGATCTTCCAAGCAGGAGCCAGCTACCTTTCCTTTAAGGGACTATCAGTTAGCAAATATTGGGGATCACACCCTGTCATATATTCTTCCTTAAGTTACGCAAAAATCATGATTGGTTGACAGACTGTACAAGAACAGGTTGGGCCTAACAGGCCACCACAGTGTGCCAATCTCTGCTCTACACGGTCAGTTTACTTTTATCCGTTTTTGTTTCTGCTGATTATTTCCTCTAGAGACTTCTATTTAAATTATTTCATTTGCATGTAACTGAGTCAGATTTGTATGTAATTCAGTTATTGTTTCATATTTCCGTATTTCTATTTCACCATATCACCATGTCCTTTTGCAAATTTCAGAAGCAAGTCCATACAAAAACAAAACAAAACAAGAAGAAAAAAAAAAAAGGAAGAAGTAATAAAAAGAATGAATAATAAAAAGAATGAAGAAGTGGAAACACCTCAACATTCACAACAATGACAAAATGACTCCAGAGGTGCCTTATTGGAAGGGAGTATGGAAAGATAAAATGAGCCTAGGAAGGAATAACAAATAAAACTTATCTGGAGTGAAACTTTCTAATGAAAGTTCTAGAAAAACACGAGGGAGGAAGCAAGCGATCATGACAAACCTGAGTATTTGTCAATGTAAGAATCCTGGTGCCTCCTCTCTAACCTGTTCTCAAAGTCCCTGCCGGAGGGCCACTGCAGTGACCCTGGCAGGGAGGTCTTAGGTCACTATAGCTCCTGCCCTCTCCCCATTCTGCACAAACCCGTCTTCCCCACTGCTGCCAGACCATCCCCTGAAGAATCACCTCATCGTGACAGCCTCTCCCCCCTTAACCCTGCGGCCCACAGAACCATGTCCACACTCCTTAGTGCTGCGGCTGGATCTGTATCACCAGGCATCAGCCCCACCCCATCCTCTCCCTGATCAATCCTCTCCATGGGTGTGCCTAACATCGCCTTGGACATTCGTCAAAATGAAGGTTCCAAAGCTCCCTCCTCCTCCCTGGGATTGGTCCCCAGGCAGAGCCTGAGAATCTGCATTGTACAAGTACCCCAAGTGAAAACGAACCAGGCTGCCAGATGTCCACAATTGGAGTCATACCTTCACAGGGGTTGCTCGCCGCTTCCTTCCTTTCACACAGAGGGGTCACCCCCCGACACACACATCCTGAGGCTCCCCTTCACCTTCCCAGCCAAGCTCACTCCGAAATCGGGAGCCACTAGATTTTAACAGCCCGGTTTATGGGCCTGTCTGTGTAGACTCTGCCCTGTCCACACACCACTCTCCTCGGAATGCCCTGAGCTGCCTGCTGAGATCCCGCCATCTTCCAAGGCTGGGTTCAAATACCCCTTCGGCCATCCGTCCTGAGGCATTCGCTTCTCTTTCTTCCAAATGCCACCAGATGTTCTTTGCATGTCTATTGTCACGGACCAAATTTTGCCTGACTTGTATATGGACCACTGTTGAGGGGGGGAGAGGGGGGTGGAAATGATCGCAGTTGTGCCTTCCAGAGTGCCCCAAAGGGTGCCTTTGAAAGGTTTCTGAGTCTATTCATCAAAACCTCCTGAGATGCCATCAGACCTACATGAGTCTACACCGTGCCCTATGAAGACACATTTCAGAGATTCCAACTGCCAAACACTAGCTAGCAGGATGTGCAAACTGGCAGAAAGATCAGTGTTTGTTTCTGTCTCGCTTGGTTTTTAAACTGGAAGCTGAATGTCTTGGGGACAGAGGATCCACTTTCACAAAAGCTCCACTATCCACTCCCCGGATTATCTGTCTCTCCACCCGAAGGAGTCTTCGAGATTGTGAGCCCGGCTCAGCTGCGAAAGCAGAAACTATGTCCTCCCTGGGAGATAGGAAAACTTACAGCAGACGCGTGGAGGCCTGAGAACCCGAGGCAGGCCCAGATGAAAGTTACTTTCAGAAAGCATGAAAACCAAAGGGAAACGAGGGAAGAAAAACAGGAAGAAGCTCAGAGAAAGGAAAAGCATATCCACAGACAGGACACAGAACAATAAGTTTGCTTAAGGCCTGATCGCTATTGCAAACACTAGGAAGAAAACTAACAATTTTCACAGGAAAAAAAATCCAGGCTTTATTTGTTTTTAGAAAGAGGTGTGTTAACCTTGAAATTTGAACATGGATTAAAAAAAAACACACAACAACTACTCCTAGGGGGGGATAAATCATTAAACAATACTAGTAGTGATTCTGTAAATACCACAGTGGGTCCCTCTCAAAGATTCGTTTATATCCTATACTTAGAAATATATATCAAAAAACGATAACCTAACACTTGGCAAAAGCCCTCTTCACATCACTTGAAGTTTGTTTACCTGCTAACTCAAATGCAAAAATAGATTTGAAATGAAGAGATAGGAGGCCCTGACCAGTTTGGCTCAGTGGATAGAGCGTCAGCCTGCGGACTGAAAGGTCCCAGATTCGATTCCGGTCAAGGCCTGGGTTTCGGGCACATCCCCAATAGGAGGCAGCTGATGGATGTTTCTCTCTCATCAGTGTTTCTAGCTCTCTGTCCCTCTCCCTTCCTCTCTGTAAAAAATCAATTAAAAAAATATTTTTTTAAAAGAGAGAGAAAGAGAGAGAGAGAGAGGTGTTCTTTCTCGTTTTGGTAGTGGCCGGGCCCAGCTTAACACAGAAGTGGGAGAAGGGAACTTGGCTAACCTCTGTCAGAAGGACCAGGAGGCCTAACCCACAGCCCACAGAGCCAAGTCCCGCCGCCTCCTGATGGAGCCCAGGGGGGTCAATTACCACAAATAAGCGGCCTGTCACCCCTGTGCCCTGGAGCATGGACCTCAGTCACTTCCAGCCTCCTCTCTCAGCCCCTAGCGGAGCGGGCAGCTGGGGACCAGACCAGGGGACACCCAGGTGGCAGCCCTGAGCCCTGGGGCAGGTTTGGCGACCCCCGTGGGGCGGACAGAGGGGCGTGCCGGGCCAGGGGCGGAAGCCAGGCTCTTGGGCTACAGTAATGCCCATCGGGCGTCTGTCTGAACCCGGCACACGGCGCCCCTGGCACCGGCAGAGACCGTGTTTCCAAGTGCGTGGCTGGAAGGGGAAGTCCCTGCGCTGGCCGGCTTGGCTCAGCGGATAAGAGTGTCCGCCTGCAGAGCCAGGGTCCCGGGTTCGACTCCCGGTCAAAGGCACATGCCTGGGTGGCTGGGCTCAGACCCCAGTGTGGGGTGTGCGGGAGGCAGCCCATCCATGGTTGTCTCTCATCGTTGATGTTTCTATTCCTCTCTAAAATCAATAAAGATATTTTTATTTACTTTTTTTTTTTTTTTAAGGGAGAAATCCCGAGGGACAAGGACGGGAATTTTTGTTTTGACTCCCCATGTTGTGCCGTCTTCTCCGGCATCAAAGGAAACCGGGGTGAATCATCCCGCGGGAGCCACAGGACAGGAAGTTTGTAGGTTTGTGACGACAGAGGCTAAGTGCCCCCCCAAAAAAAAAGTTGTGGGAGACTGGTCTCTCCCCCAACACCCATGTCCAAGCTCAGGCAAACGCCCCAACCCCCACCCTCGGCCCCTGAACCCGGCCTGGCCTCGCCCCCGGCGCCCCCAAACCCGCTCGTCACAGTCCCCGGGCTGGGGGCTCCCCCCACCCCGCACCCCCCACCCCGCACCCCGCACCCCAACCTCACGGGAGGGCCGGCACGCTCCCCGGGGTCTTCCGGTTTCCCCCCGGGGGGCCCCTCAGACCCCCCACCGTGTGTCCCCCCACAAACTCACCGATCACCCCACCGACCCCCCTCCGCCTCCCCCGGGCCGTCCCTCCCCGCGACCCCCGACCTCCGACCCCCGATCTCCGATCCCCCCGGACCTCGCTCTCGGGGTCCGGGGGGGCCCCGCCGCCACGCCCCCGCGGTTCACGGGGCCCCTCGCTCACCCACACGAACAGGCTGTCGGCGAGCAGGAACTGGGCCACGTCGCGCAGCCCCGGGCCCCCCGCGCTCGGCCGGGCCGCGGCGGCGGGGCCGGGCGGCGGGGCCGCGGCGCCGGGCTCCCCGGGCGGCGGGGCCGGGGCCGGGGCCGGGGCGCCGGGCCCGAGCGCGCGGAGGGCGCTGCCGATGGCGCCGAGCAGGGCCAGGCCGCTGAGCGCCGCGTAGGTGCGCAGGCTGGGCCAGGGCAGCCGCTCCAGGAACAGCAGCGGCATGGCGGGCGCGGCGGGCTCCGGCGCCCAGGCCGCGGCGCGCTGCGGGCCGCCCGCCTCCGTCCCCGCCGCCCCTCCCGCCGGCGCGGAAGCGCCTCCGCGGGCCCGGGCCGGGGCGCCGCCTCCCGCCGGCGGCGGGCGGGCCGGGCGCGGGGGCGCGGCCTCCGTCCCCCGCCCCCAGCGGGCGCGCCGCCGCCGGGCCGGGTAGGGCCGCGGCCGCAGGGCCTGGCTGCCGGCGCCCAGCATCGCCCCTCCGCCTCCGCCTCCGCCCTCGCCCCCTCCGCCTCCGCCGACGGCCCCTCCGCCCTCCGCCTCCGCCGCCGGCCCCTCCGCCGACGGCCCGACCCAACCGACTGCCCGGCCTCCGCGTCACCGGCGCTGACGGCGTGGAACCCGGCCGCGTGGCCCGGCCCTGGGCGCGGGGCCTGGACCCCCCGGCGTCCGGCTGGTTCTGAGCCTTAGTCCTCCTCCCCCTGTCACCCTGAGCTCCTCTGAGTCCCCTCCCCGTTACCCTGAGCTCCCTCCCCGTGGCACCCTGAGCCCCCCTGAGTCCCCCTCCCCGTTACCCTGAGCCCCCTCCCCGTGTCACCCTGAGCCCTCTTCCCCCTGTTACTCTGAGCCCTCTTCCCCGTGTCACCCTGAGCCCCCTCCCCGTGTCACCCTGACACCCCTCCCCGTGTCACCCTGAGCCCTCTTCCCCCTGTTACCCTGAGCCCTCTTCCCCCTGTCACCCTGAGCCCCCTCCCCGTGTCACCCTGAGCCCTCTTCCCCCTGTTACCCTGAGCCCTCTTCTCCGTGTCACCCTGAGCCCTCTTCCCCCTGTTACCCTGAGCCCTCTTCTCCCTGTCACCCTGAGCCCCCTCCCCGTGGCACCCTGAGCCCCTCTGTGGGCCTAGCTGCTGCCCTGGTAGCAGGAAGAGATGGGAATAACGGAATAATAAGAGGATCTGACCCCAAACAATGGAGTCTTCAGTGTGTTGCCAATAACAGGTCTTCAACTTTCTGCGGGTTACTAGTAGCCTGGAGCAGAGTCTAAAACGAACCTGATGTAGCAGGAAATAAACGTGTTTCCTCATACACCAGGTAGGAAATGTAAAATGGATTCACTCGGTTTTTTTTTTTTTTTTTAAATATATTTTATTGATTTTTTACAAAGAGGAAGAGAGGCATAGAGAGTTAGAAACATGGATGAGAGAGAATCATCGATCAGTTGCCTCTTGCACACCTCCTACTGGGGATGTGCCCACCACCAAGGTACATGCCCCTGACCAGAATCGAACCTGGGGTCTTTCAGTCTGCAGACCGACGCTCTACCACTGAGCCAAACTGGTTTCGGCTCACTCGGTTCTTTAAATAAAGTTCAACATAAAAGGGATCGCTTGACTTGGCAATTCCACTGCGGGGAGTCTTGTAGCCAAAGAAATGGAAACGCACATCCTCATAAAACTTGTACACTAGGGTTGATGGCAGCATTATTGTCATAGCCAAAGGGTGGAACAACCCTTATGTCCACGGAGGGATGAACCCCTCAATAAGGGTACAGAGGAGTTTTATTCGGCCAGAAAAGAAGTTAATGACATGCTACAACCTGGACAAACTTTGAAACCACGTTAAGGGAAAGGGGAAAGCAGCCCAGACCAACACAACGTGAAATGTCCAGAAAAGGCTAATTATTTGTAGATGCAGAAAGCAGATTCATGGTTGCTTAGGGATGGGGGCATGATGGAACTGTGGAGAGAGGAGAGCTAAATATGATTTCTTTATGAAGTAATGAAAATGTTCTAAAACCGTGGTGATGGTTGCACAACTCCGAATAGACTAACAGTCATTTGATTGCAGTTTAGTGAGGTATATCTCAATAGGTGAATTCTAGCTCAATAAAGCCATTACCAAAACATACAAAAACACGCTACCAAGCAAGTGTTACTTTGGGGTTTTATTCCTCACTGTATCCTCAAAGCCTATAAATAGTACCTGGCACACAGGTGCTCAGTATGTAGATATTGAATCTAAATCTTCAAGGCCTCTTTTATGCCTAATACTCTAATTCTAAAAATCAATTAGAAAGCAAAACCAGGATCTCTCAGGATGATTGCTGTCCACTTGGGAATTTTTAGAAAAATCCTAGCGAAGGGCCTGTAACGGAGCATCACAGTTCCGCTCTTGGCAGGGAGGGTGGGCACGTGGTTGCCACACACACTTTTTTTATATGAGGCTTGTGTGATAGTAGACTTTAGTTCATAGGAAATGCTACACTTTTATCTTTATTGGTAAAATAACGCTTTGTTTTGGGGGGGTGGGAGGGGAATGATAGTAATTGTCCAGGGAAGTTTTCTACTTTATCTGAGTTCCATAATTTCTAAACCATCCTATCAGATGACCTATATTCAATCCAAGTCACAACACGCCACAGCAGACTTGTCCTGCCAATAGGGGTTGCTGTTAATAGATCGTCCCTTATTATATTCCACCATCTTAAGTTTCAGAGTGCTATCCTCCCGTGGAATTACTCACTGCTTAAAAAACAAGCTTCGATCTGCTTTCTGAAATGACTTTGTAACGTGTTTAATAGCAGCTATTTCTGATTTCTGACTACGTCAGAACTGTAGTCTAAGCTTCCTGTAAACTTTTAGAAACTTGAACGTTCTGAAGATCCAATACCAGAATAGGTGAAATTTACCTACTATTCTTTATTTGCATTTTAGAAGATGTTTAAAGGTTTTCAAGGGCATGTGTATGGTTGCAGGCTCAGTCCCCTTGCAGGATACTGCCAATCGATGATTCTCTCTCACTGGTGTTTTTTTCTCTCTCCCCCCCACTCCCTTCCTCTCTGAAATCAATTAAAAATATATATTTTTTTAAAAACTGCAGGAGTCAACTCTCTTCTTTCAAAGAAGAAACTAAGTCCCCAGTGATGAAAAGACATAGCAGTTAACATGATTGTGTGGCAACTTCTAAACGCGTCTTCAGGTTCTGTGTGCAGTGTGAGCCCTTCACCGGTCTTCCTAAGAGCACTTCTCACACACCCAGTGGAGGGAGTGGAGGGCATTATCGGGGCACCAGTTAGGTCTTCAGGCCCTCGCTGGTAGGCCTGTCTGCCTCTTACCTAATGGCCCCAGCCACTGGCGCTGAAAAGGAAGCCTGCCATCTGAATGGCACACTAACTGCAGCCGCGCACACAGTCACAGAGTCATTGTTTTAAATTGTTTTAATTAAAATGACAACAAAAGTAAAATGTAAAACAACAGTTGACCATTTTAATTGAACTTTTACTGTAATTACAAATATAAAAATATAATCAAAACTTCAGTTTCTTTTAATACATTTTCTGTATATTTATACGAGAAGACTTAAATAGAGAAAAATTCTCCAAGCCCAACTATAAATGATGCCTGCACTCTAGGATGTGAATACAAAACCAAAAAGCTTATAAATGTAGTGATCTTTCCCTCAACATTTCCCCTCTATGGCTCTAGTCTAACAATACAGCCCATCATTAAAATTCAAACTACACCTAAACTGGCTCAATCAGGACTGATTTAGGCGTTAGTGTGTTGTTTTTGTCTTTTTTTTTTTTTTTTTTTCACTAAAACAAACCTTATAAATATAATAGGAACTAATACTAAAGTGCCTTTTATGGCTGAAGTAAAAATTATAGTATTGTTTCTCATCACATATTTAACAACAAAGAGAAATCGAAGTGAGTCCAGTTTAACCCAAATAAGTGACCGAAAATGAGTGGAATAATTACGGGAGATGAAACCTAATGTTACAGAAGCTGCCTTGCATTACAGTCAAAAACCACTAACCCTCTCTGGCAATGCACACTCTCTCACACTGGCTTAGTGATGGGCACATACTGTCCCCAACACTATAAACTAGTAAAAACATTAAGTCTGAGGGACTCCAATGTGAAAAGCTATACCATCATTATATCAAATGTCTAAACAAATAACTTAAAAAATAAAAAAAGTCATTAAAAACCTGGAAGCAGGAGAAAGGGAATTTTTAACTGACTGCTTGCCTGCCTGCTGAAGTTGGAGGGCCTTTACCTCTTACTTCTAATTATGGCAGGAAAAAAATAGGCTAATTTATTTTAACCAAACAAAAGGCTACCTTAAAGGTACTCTTAAATATCCAAAGTAATAATTGAGCCACACAATGCTAGTTACAAGGTAAGATAAAAATCCAGACCGACTATTAAAAGCACAAATTCATAGATTATCATATGCCATTGTAAGTATTACCTACGTTTTAAAAAATCACAAGTCTTGCCCTGCCCGGTTTGGCTCAGTAGATAGAGCATCGGTCTGGGGACTGAAGGGTCCTGGTCAAGAGCAGGTACCTAGGCTGCAGGCTCCTTACCGGCCTGGGCCCTGGTCAGGACTCGTGCAGGAGTCACCAATCAATGTGTTTCTCTCACATCGATCAATATTTTTCTCTTTCCCTCTCTCTAAAAATCAGTGGGGGGGGGGGGGGGGGGGGGGAAATATCCTCGGTGAGTATTCAAAAAAAAAAAAATTTAAAAATCACACATCTTCACCACTTAGAAAAAATTCATTTTTGTTCAAATGGGTTTTCAATGCTAAATAAATATGATTTAAAACATTTGAGTAAAACCTTTTGTTTTTCCCCCCTCAATCTTCTAATGAATATTTCCCAGTGTCATTTAGTAGTTTTATATAAAATATATACTACTTGGATTACTCAGGGAAAATAATATGACAAATATTATAGTTATACGAAAGAACATGCATTTATAAACAAACCTGAACATAGAGGCAGTCAAAAATATGTCAGTTAATCAAGAGCTCTTTTAAAAACTACTCAGTATTTAGTATGTAGAGACTTGGAATGCACAGTTTAAGACTTAGTTCTTGAAGAAGTGTGATATGTTTATTTACCCAAGACCTTTCTGTTAAACAGTGTCCTTGAACCCTCTTCCAATGCTGTAGGAATACATCATATTTAAACATCCCCATTTAAACATCCTTCCAGAAACCACAACAAGAGTGCGGGGATACAACTACAACTAACCAGTTCAAATGCAGTTTGAAAAATGTATGTTTGTGTGTTATGAATATTACATTCAAACCCAGATCTCTCAGAGTCCAAGGTTAGTCATCCAGCTGGCTTAAATGAAAGATTTTTTTTACCTCGACCCCCGTGTACGGGTGACTGACTCAAGTACTGATACTGGAAAGCAGTGATTAAAGAAGAATTTCTAGGTCAGAGCTTAAGTTACAAAGGACATGAGTGGCCTCAGATCAGATGCCTCTTCAATTCACTCTTTTACTGACAGCACTTTAAAAATCACACCAAAAAAAAAAAAAAAAAAAAGGCTACCTCTTTCCACCCACCCCAAGTGGCAAGAGCTAACGTGGTCTGGAATGTGGTCGCTTGTAGCTTTTCCCTTGGGTTCAGAAGCAATCATGGAAAGTGGGCTGGATCCAGCAGTTTCCACCTCTGCCTTCCCCAATGTTTTAGGACTCAGCTAATTGGTGAGTTCACCAATAAAGTAATTATTTAAAAATATTCTAGTGGAAACCAGAGGGCAGGACCGTTAGTTAGCCTTGCGGGAAGAGGACCATCCACAGAACTGGGGCTTTTTCGAAGGACACTGCCCATTTTGGTCCCGGAGTGTGGAGCTCACCTACTACCTGGGCGGAGGCCCAGTTACAGTTACTATTTGATACGCAACCAGGTGAAGGTTTGACAGGACCTCAAGTAAATGAATTCGAATGTTTATAAATAAAATTGCCCAGGTACTCTTGGTCTGACTTTCTCAAGTCTAAATAGGGAAAAACATGATACAGCTTTCACATCAGAATAGCCGTAAGTTGTAAGAACCAACCAACAGTTCCTCTCTATTAAAAACTTAACTTGCCAATCTCTTTTAATAGCCGTATCTTGCAAAATTTCCTTTGCATTAAGCCTACAGTAAACAAGTTTGTAATAGGCATACACAATATATTTTGACCATTAAGAAATGGCACAGCCAGCAAACTGCCCTAAGATTTTTTTTTTTATTCCTTTAATTTGACATTAATTTAGCAGTATTTTTAAAGTTTTTAAAATTTGTTGTTTTTCTCTTAGGCTGACAAAAATCTATCCCCTATCCTGTCCTTAGATTTCAGATTATTCCAACATTACTTTGGACTATAACTTCTCCACTGGGTCAGCTGCTAAAATCAAATTTTCATCTCTATGGATACAACTTCAAGTTAATTGAAATAACTAACTTTGCAATCCAAGAGTTCAAAACCTAACTCATTCACTTTCATAAACTTCCTTCACAGATGGCCATTTTACCATGGCCCTAAGAATAACCAAGACACAAATTCAGAACAGCACAAATAATTAATACCCTGATTATGTGAGAAAACTCTCTAGATCCTTCTCTTTTTATACCAATCCCCTTGATTTTCCCAAACCTACCCCATTTAATGGTTCCCCTTATGTTTAAGGTCCATTGTTTATAAAGTAAGGTCTGGCCATGTGAAATGTACCAGTCGTTACATGCTGGCATTTCGGCTGTAATACAGCGCATCAGAGTGTAAAGTTTGGTACAGGAGTTACACCTTGGACTCATTCAAGCCAATCCAGTTCCCAAAAATAACAGAAGATCTTCATCACAAAGATCTCTGCACGGCCTTGGAGTGTACCCTCAAGAGTGGTCCCCCAACAAGGGTCCCCTAAACCTGACTGATCTAAATCTGCCATGGTCTCTGAACGCTCACCAGCCTGAGGGGGGAGAAAACACCATCCTCACCTGTAACAGTTTTACAAGTTTAATGTGAAATTTAAAAAAAAAATACAAATAGAAAGAAGTCCACTTTTTTTTTAATGTACAAAAACGTATGAGTAGAAACAAAAGCAAATTAAACATTATCACATATGTTTTCACCACTATCTAGGTTCTTCATATCAACATCACTGTTCAAACATTAGAAAGCAGGTGGCAATTTGGGGCGTGGGAAAGAGAGAAAACAAAACACCTTTCTTTTCTACCATGTTTTTTCTAGACTGTGCGGAGCTGTGCTCACAGAGATGGCTTCTTTTACTTCTCCACTGCGCAGCAATTCAGTTGTATATAAAATTGAACCTGAATTTTAAAAAGAACAACGGCTTTATTAAAAACAATGTTCTTTACATAGTTCTTACCTTAGATCAGCAATTTTCAACCTTCTTCATCTCATGGCACATGTAAGCTAACCACTAACTAAAATTTTGCAGCACACCAAAAAATGTATTTTTGCTGATCTGATCAAAATAAAAATGGGTGTAAGTTTGATTCATTCACACCAGATGGCTACTGTGTTAGCTGTCATTTTTTCATTTGACAATCTAAGGGAAAAGAAGTCAGTGCCCCGGATTAAGTAGCCACGTATTGCAAGTTTTAAGAATTCTGCAGCACACCAGATGAACAATTACTGCCTTAGATCAGTGATGGCCAAACAGTGGTCTTCCGACCACTGGTGGTCTGCGAAGTCTGAAAGGTTGGCAACCACTGCCTTAGATGATAAAATAATTTGGACGTTTCTACCCTCCTTGACATTTTTGGATTTTCTACACCGAGACGCACTTTTCTCTCACCCGTCACATCTTACACATTAAATAACAGTTATTGAAACTTAAAAGAGTCTAAATTTGATTAACTATCCACTAATAGTTTCCCTGAGGGAAGGGAAAGTTTTTATACTTCATTGTATTCTGATCACTCAGCCCTGTTCCTGGCCCGGTAGGTGGTGTTTAAATAAATGAATAATATGACCTTTTAACATATCCCATTTTTCAACCAAAGCAGAGGAGTAAAAGATGAAGTTTGATTAGTGTAACAAAATAGAAAGGCCAAGAAGCTTTAATAAAAGGCAAAATGACTACTGAAATTGTTTTTAAATTAACGTTTATTAAGCGCTTACCAGGTGCCTGGCATTATCATAAGCACTTTATGTGTGATATTTCACTTGTTTCTCACAATTCTGTGAAGTGGGGACCACCACCCCCATTTACAGATGAAGAAAGAGGCAAATAGGTATGTATAACCATTTGTCCTGGCCACTCTGTCAAATCCAAACACTGACCACAGAATCTGTATTCTTAACCGCCATGCTATTCTGCAATTCCTGGCTGGCTATGGCTGGCTCTACGTTCAACCACTATGAGTCAAATTTCAAAAAATGCATTTCTCACCACTCTGACTTAAAAAAAAATACCAAATTCAAAAGGAAAAAGAATGTATTACACCAAGAGATTCAATGCCCACATTTTTATGTAGGTAACTCCCTTCGTCTTTATTGCACATTGCTGACTACAATTTTTCCAATAGCTTCTTTGAATAAAGACTTCAAACTGAACTGTACAGAGTATCAAATTTGGGGAAGAGCAGTTACGCAAATACCATAATGACATGCCACAAGTTAGGACCACTTTTGGCCAGTCATGTTTAATCTGTGGCTGCACATGATGTAACTTTAACTTCCTTAAAGACCAAAATCCATGAACTGTCCCTTCTCAAGCGGCTCGGAGTATTTTAAATCTGGCAGCTTTGTCAAATCAACCACAAATGCTCAACATTCCATACCTGCTCAAAAGCTGAGGGAGACTAGAGATGATGGGTCCGTATCCCGGGGCGTTGTCATACAATTCAAACAGTGGCGCGGCTACCAGCTTGTAATTCTTAGGGACTGCAAACAAGGCTAAAAGAAAACAAAGCAGTACTCATTTTCTCTAATTTCTTACATAATCAGTTTCCACTTCATTTGTAATCACCAATTTTACATGTGAGAAACATTTGTGGAAAAAGGTAATCTCGATACATTTTGGTTCAGTCTTTTAAGCAAATTCATAGTGAGAGCTTTGAAACTGATTCTCTAAAGAGATCCGTACTATTACGGTATTAACAACCAAGAGCACCTGATATAAGTTCTGACCCTGAGAGGAAGGGGAGAAGTAATTTGTAATTTATTTTGGATTCCCCTTTAAGAATATTATAAGAAATGGGATAATTATTTGTTAAAATGCACAATAAGCCTAAAGATGCTATTTTTATTTTTTTTTTAATAAAAATTCATCTGGTACTTTAGGCTCTAGTTAAACTTACTTTCTCCCCCTAGTTGGTTTGGCTCAGTGGATAGAGCGTCAGCCTGCGGACTGAAGGGTCCCAGGTTCGATTCCAGTCAAGGGCACCTGCTTGGGTTGCAGGCTTTAATCCTCAATTGGGGGAGGGGGATGTGCAGGAGACAGCCAACCAATGATTTCTCTCATCATTGATCTTTCTCTCTCTCTCCTTCTCCTTTCCTCTCTGGAATCAATAAAAATATACTTAAAAAAATAAACAAATAGCCGAGACCGGTTTGGCTCAATGGATAGAGCGTCGGCTTGGGGACTGAAGGATCCCAGGTTCGATTCCGGTCAAGGGCATGTACTTTGGTTGTGGTAGGGGGTGTGCAAGAGGCAGCTGATCGATGACTCTCTCATCGATGTTTCTAACTCTCTCTCTCCCTTCCTCTCTGTTCAAAACCAATAAAATATATATATAAAAAAATAAAAATAAAATAAACAAATAAATTTACTTTCTCCCCAATAGTATATCACTGGCATATCTATGAGAAAAACTAAGTAGTTCTGTATAAACTTGCTTTGTGTTTTTAAAAAACTCAAGGAAATTGAAGAAAAGACAAATAAAAGTACCCTTGAAATTACTCTGTAAAAGTTTTTAGATGGCTGCATTCAAAAACAAAAAAAACCTACCTTTCTCTTGAAGTTGAACCAAAAACAACTTCTTATGTTCCTTAGGTTTTGTAATATGCGCAGGAATATATGGATACTAAAATAATAAGAGAATAGTTTGTTGTTGCCAAATCATCCCTTATACCTCCGTGCCTCTATTTATCAAATTCTTCCATTTCAGACATTATGTCCAAATATAAGCCCACTGAGGCCAAGTTCCTCACAACCCCAACATAGTTTATTTTAACATATATCCTGTAACTTCCTTTATTTCTTTACATGTTTATCCCCAAACAGTGCTGCTGAGAGAACCAGAATCCTTTCTAGTCTTCTCTTTACCAGGATCTAGTACCTAATGGATGTACTAATAAAGAAATGCTTTAATAAATATAAAACAACAAATAGTGAACTACTCAACCATTCAAGACAAACAGGTAGACACAGGATTTACAGCTTGAGAAATTTACAACACAATTAAGCCTAATATTTTTAAAAAGTTGTTTGTTTTTCCTGCAAATATCATTAATTTAAATTACTAGAATCCTGATGTGCTCCTTTCCTTTAAGCCTTTTTCTCTAGTCATCTTGGTGTTTAAGTCAATTGTGCTTTACAAAAAGACAGAGATACAAAGATGGTGCTCATTTCCCCCAACACCTAACCAATACCCTAAGTTTACTAAAACACAACCCTTATGTTATATCTTACACTAGCAGAGCTGACACTAGGGTTTAATAAATTAAGGGAAGTGTCCTAGGACCATGGCAGGGGACATGAATGAGACTATTCAGAAAGTAGCCTGGAGAGCTTTTGGGTTTTGACTGAGCATTTTCCAGTTAGATCCAGGAATGTACAAAAGTTTACAGCAATTGTTCTGTGCATCTTTTGACCAGGAACTCCATTCATTTCCAGATGAAATTCTACTTTCTTAAAGCCAACACAATTCTCAGGCAGTGAGCATAGCACAGCTTCCATCGCACCTCATCTTCCTATCCCTCAGCTCTACTGGGAAGTCAGAAGGAAGAGGACAGACAGAACAATCTTTAGATTGGCCAATATTTTGTGAAATTCTTTACCTGGGATGTCTTGTCATGCAAAGAAGCTGTTAAAGTCATAGAGCCTGGCCAAAAGAATTCAGGATCCAACTTCGAGTCTCTATTCTTTCCTACACAAACTATACTTCAGGATAACCAAGTACTTGATGGGAAAAGTTTCTCTTTATTTAAGGATCAGAATACCAATGAAATGAGAAGATCCAGGAAACTGTATCAATGAGCTAATAACATTACAAAGGAGACAATCTGACATTATAACATTTCTGATAAAAGTACACAATAACACCCTTGATAGCAACCTCCAAAATGACTCCCATGGTCTCAGTCTCCTTCCTGGTACCCACACCTCTGTGTAGTTGTCTCCCACAGTGTACTATGTGGGTTTGTGTGACTGACAGTATACAGCAGAAATCACAGTATGTCACCACCAACATCCAATTATAACAGGCTGTAGCTTCCTAGTTGGGCACTCTTTCTGTCAAAGTCTCCATCTTATGGATCACACACTGGGGGAAGCCAGCTGTCTTACTGGGAGTTGCCCTAAGGGGATGCTCTCATGGCAACTGAGGAAGGTCTTAGGTCAACAGCCAAGAAGGAGATGAGGCCTTCAGTCCAGCAGCCCAGAGGAACTGAGAGGTCTGCTAAGAATCACATGTGAGCTTGGGGTCAGATACGTAAGCCTCAGTTCAGCCTTGAGATGATGCAATCCCAGATGACAACTTGACCAAAACTTCACAAGAGACCATGAGCCAGAAACACCCAGCTGAGCAGCTACAGATGCCTGACCCTGAGAAACTAAGATAATAAATGTTGGCCGTTTTAGACCGCTAAGTTTCAAGGTAATAGATTAGGCAACAGTAAATAATATTACCTTCTCTGGTGAGCCTTGCACTCCCCTCCCAAAAAATTGAATCCAAATTTAATCTATTGATCTAACTATCAATTACAGGAGAAGATAAAGAGCTACATGTTCAATGACAACAGGGAATGCAATCAGCAATAGAAACACTACTCTCTCTAAAAATATCAATTTAAAAAAAAGAAAAAACAGGGAACCAACTTGTAGATGTAAAAAAGACTTAAGAGATTACCCTATTTCAAATAAATTAACAATAAAATTTTAAAACTATAAAGAATATGTGAACAGTAACTACATGTTTAAAGACATTATGGATTTATTTTTATTATTTTAAAAAATCCTTATCTTTCAGAGACACACACTGGAAAATTTACTATTGAAATTATATCGAGGATTTGCCTCCAAACAATCTCAGCTCTTAACTGAAGTTGGATGACAGGTAAAGGATATATTCACTCTTACTATTTTCTGGACTTTTGTGTAGATTTGAAATGTTCTTTTAAAGAAAAAACATTTCTATTAAGAAAGATAAAAAGAAAATTTCAAGTTTAAGTCTACTATGATATTTCTATTTTATTTTTTTTACTATGATCTTTTTAAATGACTGGAATTAAATCCATTTCCTACCTCCCCAAATGCCCAGCAAACACTACTGAACACTGACCTGAGGAGGTTCAAAATTTGGTCTCCACCAGTTACCAATGCAGTCATCAATGACCCAGTCTTGCAGGACTCCATCTTGACGACCTAGTATCTGTGAGAAAAGAAATGATACAGCCAGTGAACAATAAAACATACAGGCCCACACACTCTTCTTCAATGAAGAGATTTTTTTGGCAGCCCTCCTAATAGATACATGCTTTCCATATGGGCTTCCTTTCTATAATCTCTTATTTACTACTGTATGTGTCACCCTGCCCAAGACATACACGATTAGTTCAAAACTAACAATCTAGCATTGACATGACCAGAGAGGCCCGACAAATATTGTTATACCCTGACTATACTTTAAAAAAAAAAAAGAAAGATAATCAATTACCTATATCAGCCAATGTTATAGAATAGTTTTTATAAAATCAACTATAGCTTCTGTATGTCACCTATCTGACGAAGTTATAAAAGTGTGCAAAACTCAAAATGTTTCTTTTTATGATTCTGTATAACATTAAACTTACATTGTTTTAATCAAAGCTCTACTCTACATTTGAATTAGTCAAAAATGGTTCTAAAAGTTTCATAACAACAAAGAGCAGTTCCCTACCCCACTTCACCCATTACCCCTGGCTGTAACTCTCAACTCTTAGCTGTTTTACCCTGATATTTGCCTCTATTTTTAAAAGCATTCAAAATTCTAGAGAGGCCTATCCTGGAACAAAACTACCTGCATTCAAAGCTCCAGCATCAAGACCTACTGGATAACATCAACCAGTTACTTGAACTCTCGGTGCCCCAGTTTTCTTACCAGTAAAATGGAGTTAATAATAATACCTACTTCCTAGGGCTGCTGTGATAACTAAAGAAGTTATTGTATGTAAAACACTTAGTATAGCACAGTAAGTACCCAATAAATATTGACCTTTGTTAACCATTACTGTTACATAAACACTTCAGAGAAAAAAATAAAAGTATAAGTTCAACTTCTGGAAAATAAACATTGTACATATTAACACTGGGATTTAAGTTTGTGGGGTTTTTTTAAACTATATTTTATTGATTTTTTTTTTTTTTACAAAGAAGAAGGGAGAGGGATAGAGAGTTAGAAACATCGATCAGCTACCTCCTGCACACCCCCTCTGGGGATGTGCCTGCAACCAAGGTACATGACTTTGACTGGAATTGAACCAGGGACTCTTTAGTTCATAGGCCAACACTCTATCCACTGAGCCAACCCAGTCAGGGCAAATTTTATTTATTGAAACGTAATCGTCAAAATAAACTCATCCTTTTCAGAAGACATAAAAAGCCTAATTATCTAGTTAGTGGGTGGTATTAACAAGAGCAATAATAATAATAACCGTCCAAGTGGTTAAATAGAAAAATACCTCTGTCATTAAGCGTTTTAGTCCTTCAACTTCATCTTCTCCTGGGTTAAGTTCACCACCAGGTCTGCATAAAGGTTAAGAATTTCAGCTTTCAACTCAACACAATTTTGGGATAATAGGAAGAAGACAGTAATAGTTATTTCTATCAAGTAACTGAACAGCACACATATTCCAGTGTCACATGATGAGGCAATCAAAGCGAAGGGGAAGAATATGCTAGAAATAGAAAGCTGAATTCACATTAATTCACCAGACTAACCAGTACACAAACGCTAATTTTAAACAAAATATGTAGCATAATGTAAACATTACATAATTGCTGACCATCAGTCCACCCCATCTCTTTTCCCGGGGAAGCTATCTAGCGATAGTGAAGTCTGGAAACATCCAGAGAGCAGTGAACCACATTCTTTTGGTCTGAAGAATGGGGCATTTTTCCAGAACTCCAACCTAAATGTAACTCCAATCTAAATATTTGAGACCTCTCTTTTGATACAATCTGGTCAAATAGTTGTGAACTAAATGTGTATCAGGAAATCTATAAGCTTAAATGGTAAAACTAGAAATTTATCCATAAAAATGTAAGTCATTTGAAGAACAGGAAAACACTATTCATCCTAAGAAATAACATCCATTGTTCGTAGCGATGCTACGATGACATCTAGTAATACGACTTGGACCAATTTGTTTAAGAGGGCTCCTGTCAAGCTCAATCATTAATATTAACAACACGTGGATTTCTAGTGAGGCAATAAGTGAGCGTTGCCCTGAAGAAAAATTACTTGTGATTTTTCTGTTTCTGAAGACTCCAAGAACAGGCCTGTTTGTTGAGATAAATGTCTACAGTAAAAACTATATTCCAACACTGCTTAAGACAGCAACCTTATTGAAAGCTGTCTTGCTGTTCGTTTCCAACAACACTTACAGTTTGAAGAAAGTCGTTCCCAGCTGGAGCAGTAGCACATGGGGCAGTCGGTGCTCATGTACAATCAGAACCCCTTCCACAGTCCTCCTCATTCCAATTTTGTCAAATTCCTCCCTCATGCGTTGAAATCGGGCTGCAACAGAGCTGTCCTTCTCATAGAGGGGCTCTTTTGTACCAAAAGTATAATTGGTAAGAGGGTACCTGTGATCCGAAGACAAACATTACACATGAGAACCGGGACCATGATTCACCATCAAAGATACAACCATACAACACATATATATGTACGTATATAGAACATACGTATATGGTAGATAGTGTATATATTGTACTCAGAGACATAGGATTTGTCCAGAGTTACACAACTCGTTAATGAAACAGCAGAGACTAGAATCCAGATCTTAGAACTCTAAAGCTCCAGCTTCTATTAGATTAAGCATATATATCACTATCCGTAAGGCCCTTAAATATTATCTGGACATCTGATAATCCTCTGGTTTTAGGTTGTGGCTAATATAACAGCATTGCCAAGCTGGCCAATGTCCATTTGGGCTCCTCTTACGGGTAATCAGAAATTCTATTAGCTTACATGCTAATCTCTTTTGTCTAAAAGTAGAGCTACCACTTCCATCATCTCTTCTGTTTTTTTTCTACTTCTCCCAGTCAAATATCCGCATACGTCTTTAGTACCATAACCCTTTCCTCTTTAGAGGAACTTTTCTTTCCCCTCTAAAACCTTCTAGCCTTCTGCATTTATTTCATTCATTACCCTTATTCTTCCCTTCTCTTCATTCATATCTCCGACCCAATCTGAATATTCTCTCCTTCTTTATCAGAATATGCTCAAATTTTGAAGACCATTTTCATCTTGCCTAGCAAAGACCAAATTTTTCCTTAAAACTACCATGTTTATATTTTTATCACACATATCACCTTGTAACCCCTCAATCAGGAGACTAATAGTAAGAAGCCTCTAGTTATAAGCCTTTGAGTAAAAATGCTTTACCACATTGTCCATCCCCAAGATATGTATTCTATAAAAACGCCTTGACATTCAGTCAGTAACTACATAACTAGTCCACTCTGCTATTCTTGAAAGGGGTTGCCAAAACTTAAACAGGTTAGTTTGAGCCCGGCCGTGTGGCTCAGTGGAGGTCAGGGCACATGCCTGGGATTGTGGGCTCAATTCCCAGTGAGGAGGTGTGCAGGAGACAGCTGGTCAATGATACTCTCTCACCATTGATGTTTCTATCTTTCCCTCTTCCTGTCTGAAATCAATTAAAATATATGTTTGGGGGAGTAGGGAGAAAAGGACTTATTTTCAATTTGCTCACACACATGAATTGATTTACAACACGATTCTGAATACCACATTTATATAGGAGAGGAAAAGTACTGTAATCCATCAACACATAACTTTAATGGAGCAAAGATTAAAACATTTTCACCAAATTAATTCTGCATAATGGCTTAGTGCAAACTGATCCAATAACCAAGGCAAATCAAGGGAAAACTCTGAGTCCCGGTTCTAATCACCACTGCGGAGCTGTGCTTTCACTTTGTTTAAAGGGGAACATTTGTCTTTCCCACATGATGGGAATCCTATGAGGATTTTTAAAAGCAGTAATGTGCAATTAAAATATATTTCGGTAATATAATATCTATTCACTTGTATATACGCAACTATACCAATTCCAGGTTTCATGAGCCCCAAAGTTTCATTATCTGCATTTCCAAGTCAGCATCTGTTTTGCCAAATAAAACAATAACCATCTTTTCCATTTCAATTCGCTTTTGAGGGAAATTCATTTATTTGAATATGAGACAGAGAAAACATCTAAAGTGGCTATCAAAAACACCAATATCAGAAAATCCTTGCACCTTTTTTTAAAAAGCTATGTTGTTATTGATTTGAGAGAGGAGAAGAAAAAAAAAAAAACACTAATGAGAGAAAGAAAAATATCAATAGGCTGCCTCCTTTACAACCCCTCTCCCCTGACCAGGAGTCAAACCGGAGACCTTCTGGTGCTCCACCATCTGAGGAGCTGCATCCCCAGGGCAAACCCTTGCACCTTTTACACACTGACCGGAACTAAATGGCCATTTCCTCCATGAGGCCAGCATCACAAGTGCCTCTCAAACTCTCAGGACAACTTCTTGACAATTACCTGCCGCCGCGAGATTACCAGTGAGAGTGGCCTCCACATGCAATGGCTTTAAGTGCTTAAAACGGAAAGATGTAGATGACCAAACGCAGCTACCACGGGTTCCCCGGGGTTACACTGGAGACTCCTCCAAGGTCTTCAAGCCCAACCGTCTCAGCACCCACCCTCCCAAGCGGATGATGGGTGGCTGGGTGGCTCTCCCCGCGGCAGAGAAGCCCTGCGTATGCACAGGGCAGGCCAGAGTGCCCCGAGCACGCGAATAACATGTGTGTGCATGCGCTGAAATGCACAGAATTGAAATTTGAGCCGTTAGGAAGCAAGAAGAAAAAAAAAAAACTAACGTTAAGCGTTAAAGCTACTGTGAAGACACCATATTTTGCGGTTATCTGTGGGGAGGTGGAGGAAAAGAATGGATTCAAAACAAACTATGGTTCTTCTTCCTATGACTACAGGCGCATGGGAACCAGCCTTCTTTCGGGGGAAAAGAAAAACCCTTGCAAGTAGGACAGGGCTCGAACCCCTTGGCGCTAGGGAAGGTGGAAGGGGCCTGCGGGAGGGGGGCCGGGGGGAGGCATAGAGCTCCGGACGGGTGAGCGGGCGAAGTTGGCTCGGGCAGGCCGGGCCGCACTTACAGGTTGATGGTGCGCTCCAAGGTGAGGGGCTTGGTCTGCTGGATGTACTTGTTGCCGAACTGGTTGACCCCCCGCGGCCAGCCGGTTTGAGAGCGATTGGGCGGCACCACGGACATGCTGGCGAGGACCGGCGGCGAGGACTGGCGGCGATCGGAAAGCGGGGGAGAGGAGGAGAGGCGGGGAGGCTTTCCCGGCGCGGGCAGCGGTTATCTGCGGGCCCGCTCAGCAGCCGCCGCCCGCCATTAACATGAGCTCGCTGGAGGAGGCATCCGCACGCCGGAAGTGCCTCCAGCGCCTCGGGCGGCCGGAAGTAGAGAGGCGGGAGCCAGCCAAGGCCGAGCACCACTGGCCCGGTGTCTGGTGGGATGTCGCGACGTCTTGAGCTCCCATTGGTAGAGCAGGTATGGGTTCCGCCTCCTCTTGCTGTTGGCGCTTCCTATTGGGTGGCGCTGGGAAATAGTGCATTCTGGGAATTCAAGTCTCGGTGTGCTGCTGGGTCTGGGTGGCGTGGGGTCTGCGGCTGCTGAGGAGATGAATGGGAAACGGCCCCCCGACCCTCACCCGGCCCGGATGGGGAAGAAGAGGAAGAAGGAGGTGACGGTGGAGTTTTCGGACGCTGTCAAGGAGGAAGCCTTGAAAAAGCGGGTGGCCGAGGCCTGGAGGGGCAGGACGCCGCTCAGTCACGGTAACCGGGTGCTGGGAAGGGGGAGCCACCATGCGGGGCCCGGGGCCTCGGGAAGTCCAGGCGCTGGAGCCCAGCCCGGGGCAGCGGGGCCACAAGGATGGATGGAGGCTGTTGGGCACCTCCGACCGTCCGGCCTGGCCTGTGCCCCGCTTTCGTTGCAAGTTCGGTTTGGAAGTAGAAGCCCGAGAGGAGGCGGGCGTGCAGGTCGGATTGTTCGGGGAAGTAGAGGACGTGCAAGTTGTTGGTTGAATTCTGGGACCGAAGACTCCTAGTTGAATTCTCGAAGCCCTCCACGGGCTGTACGTGGTCGTCGTGGGTGGGTTTAACTTTGTAAAAACTCGAGTTGCTTCCTGTGTAAAACTGGGAGAGCTATTTAATAAATAGTGTTTACCTCGGGAAGATCTTGAATGAGATTAGTGAGCTAATGGCGTGTATGTATCGGACAGCGTTTCCCGGAAGGAGGACCAGTAAGCATGGGGACACACATCTGAGTGGCTTAGGTGATGTTTTCCTGTGAAGGTGGTGCTGGGCTGACCCGGGATGGTGCAGCCAGAGCTTTTGAGCGTACTCGGTTTTGGTTTTTGTTTTTTCTAATATATTTTATTGATTGTTTACAGGGAGGGAGGGAGGGAGAAGGAGAGGGATAGAGAGTTAGAAACATCGATGAGAGAGAAACATCGATCAGCTGCTTCCTGCACACCCCCCACTGGGGATGTGGCTGCAACCAAGCTACATGCCCTTGACCGGAATTGAGCCTGGGACCCTGCAGTCCACAAACCAACGCTCTATCCACTGAGCCAAACCGGTTAGGGCCATTCTGGCTATTTTATGCCCAGCTTCCCACCCGCCTTGGCCGACCTGGCGCTACCAGCTCGCGACCCCCCTCCCCCCAAGCTCCTGTCATGAGCATCTGCCCCCTGGTGGTCAGTACTTGTCATAGCGACCAGTCCTCCCACTGTTCGGTCAATTTGCATATTAGGGTTTTAGATAGATGAAAGGTAGGTACCGTGTTTCCCCAAAAATAAAACATCCTCCGAAAATAAGACCTACTTATAGGTTTCCTTCTGAGTGAAATATAAGGCATCCCCAGAAAATAAGCCGCCCCCCCCCCCCTCGCCCAGGCTAAACATGAGAGATTTGGTCCACTGATTCTGAAAGAAATGGAGTCACAAGAAATTCACCAGGAAATTCAGGAATTGGATTGTTATGATGATGTTCCAGAAGATGACGACATGATTGTCCTTGAATAAATGAGTAAATTCTTGATACTGTAGGATTCAGTTTGTCTGGTTTGTGTTGACAACTACCGTACCACCGTACCGTATACAGGTAATAAATTTCCTTTATTTTCATTTAACAATAAATGTGTACCGTATTCTTCTTCATGGAAAAATAAGACATCCCCTGAAAATAAGACCTAGCGCATCTTTGGGGAGCAAAAATTAATATAAGACACTGTCTTATTTTGGGGGGAAACAGGGTAGGTAGGTGACAGATGATAGATAGATAGATAGATAGATAGATAGATAGATAGATAGATAGAACCAACCACTTGGCCTATGAAAGTAAAACGTGTTGTAGGAGGAAGGAACCTACAACCTCAGCTTCATGTGTCACCTTATAGCATAAAAACTCCACGATGCATCATGCTTCCCCTTCTAAAGTTCGCGGTGATTTTTGTTGTGGTGAAGTGCTCCAAGCCGTGAGCTCTGGATGCACGTGGACAGTGACAGCCCAGCGGTAGGCAGCTGCCTAGGTTGCCTTGTACTTAGGTACGTGTTACACTGCTGGGAGAGCAGCAGCCGCAAGCTGGCTGGCATCCTGGGCCTGGTTCCTACTCACTCTGTTGTTAACTATACCAGGATGCCCGCATAATTGAAAAAGTAAAGAAAGACATGATAGCTCAGTGTTTAAGGATTTCTCATTGTCCTCATCTATGGGATGGAGACAGTGATCATGTCTACCTTAGCATGGTGGGAAAATTAAATAATGCATGCAAAGCACCACCGTGCTTGGCGCTGGTGTGATTATTAGATGGTACATAATATAGCCCAACAGAGGCAGTGCGTAAAGTGAATTAGAAGGGGTTATGCCTGAATTGGTTTTTTGTGGGTTGTTTGTTTGTTTGTTTTTTACCCACAAAGTGTATATGTTCTGTCTTGGACAATAACTTAGGAAAAGAAAAAGGGTTGAGGAAAATTGCCAGCTAGTATTGCTGTTCTCATTTTTAATTGGCTACTCTCATTTTAAATGTGGTGGGGAGGGAGTGATATATTCAAGACTTTAAAATATATTCAGTTCACCGGAACCAGTTTGGTTCAGTGGATAGAGTCTGCGGACTGAAAGGTCCCAGGTTCGATTCCCATCAAGGGCATGTACCTTGGTTGCAGACACATCTCCAGTAGGGGGTGTGCTAAGAGGCAGCTGATTGATGTTTCTCTCTCATCGATGTTTCTAACACTCTATCCCTCTCTCTCTTGCTCTCTGTAAAAACTCAATAAAGCATATTTATATATATATATATATATATATATATATATATATATATATATATATATAAAATCTCCCAAATCTGAGACTTTAGGTATTAGATTCCTGAAAATTCATGACCATCCCCTTTTGTATTCTCTGTACTATGCTACTCAGCGGTCAAAAATACAAACGAAAAATAAGCCATACTGTTTTCTTTCCAATAGAAGCCATTATCATGGACACGGACCCCTTTCTTCATTGCATGATCCCAAACTTCATCCCAAGTCAAAACTTCTTGGAAGGGCTTCAGAAGGAGCTTTTGAACTTGGACTTCCATGAAAAGTATAATGATTTATATAAGTTCCAGCAGGTATTTATGACCTTTTCCATTCGTTCTTCCACGTTAGAAACCTATTTACAAAAAAGTCATTCAGTACCTTTACACTTGATGTTGTGACTCATATATGAAGGAAATTCTTTTTTTTTTTTCCTCTCTCTCTCTCTTTCACGGTTAAGTCTGATGATTTGAAGAAGAGAAAAGAGCCTCACATCTGTGCTTTAAGGTAAACAAGTAATCATATTTGTTGGGTGCCTGGTATGTGCCAGGCTGGCTAGTAAATGCTTTAAAATGTTATATCTTAAATCTCTGTGGATGTATTACCCTATTTTTGTAGAGGAGGAAATAGCCTCTGAGAAATTACATAACTTCTTCAAGGCCACCTAAAGTAAAAATTGAGGGAGCTAAGATACAAGCCTGAGTGTCTGATCCTAGGGTCCAATTCTCAGTGATAAAATGTTCAGCTTTGTTAGTAGTCCAGGCAACAAATTAACACTGAAATTACCATTCTTCACATATCAGGTTGGTAAATATTAAAAACAAAAACTCCCGCTCTGACCGGTTTGGCTCAGTGGATAGAGCGTCGGCCTGTGGACTCAAGGGTCCCAGGTTCGATTCTGGTCAAGGGCATGTACCTTGGTTGAGGGCATATCCCTAGTGAGAGGTATGCAGGAGGCAGCTGACTCTCTATCCCTTTCCCTTCCTCTCTGTAAAAAATAAATAAATAAAATATATTTAAAAAATAAAAACAAAAACTCCCATGTTGACAGAAGTATAGTAGATGCCTTTATACACTGCTGCAGTCTTTCTTAGAAACCGTTTTGAAAGATGTATCAAAGCCCTTCAAATCAGGCTTTCTCTTTTTGTAATGTGATTCTACTTATAAAAATTTATCCTGAGCAAATAAGAATGTGCCCTGGGAATATTAGCCCTAAACTATGCAAGTTTAAAGTGAGGGAGACTCTTGGGAATAGATCTCTTGAATAAACAGCAACCTCCAGGAAAAAACAGTTGTGACATATACTCAAATGTAGGCCACACTATGACATCAGAGGATATCTTGTTTGCATTTCTAGGAAAATTCTGTTTGAAGATTTTCGGGCTTGGCTTTCTGACATATCCAAGATTGACGTGGAATCAACCATTGACATGTCCTGTGCCAAATATGAATTCTCAGGTAAGAAAGATAAAGCCCTGATGTCTGTAAGAGTTAAAGCCTTATCTAAACAATAGTAGAAAGATAGTATCAGTATATCAAAATCCTGGACTGTGTCCCTGTATATCATTAGGATCTTACTAAGGAAGATCTGACCTGGCTCCTATACTGAAACGCCCTTCGTATTGGAAGGTATAAGGCAGTGGTTCTCTTTGGGAATATGATGAAAGCTATTGACCATATTTTCAGGAAAATGCTGATAACATACACACCAACTTTCCATACAATGGGGGAAATTCAGACGTGATATTGTAAACTCTCCTCTTAGACTGCTTAAGGAATAAATGTCCTCCTCAAAATAATTTTTGTCTTTATAAGTTTGAATTTAATAAGTGAATATACTCTTTAAGGAAAAAAATTTGAAACAATATAGAAATATACAGTGTAAACCTTGATAGTCCCCTTCACCTGTGTCAAATTCCCGCCCCCCAAATACCCTTCAGAGGTATTCATTGTCACCAGTTTGGGGTGCATCCTCCCAGTTCCCATTCCGAGCATCTACAAGTCTTTTTGAAAATGTTTGGTAACGTTTTAAAAAGTGTTGTGTGTTGTTTTGGATTTAACTCCCGTCTTGGAAGTTTAACTTAGTAACAACTTTTTGAGGATAACTTAGTGATACACATGAAGAATCATATCAGATGATTATTTTTTAACTTTTTTTTTTTAAGTAATTTCAAACTTAACAGAAAAGTGGCACACATAGTACAAATCATTTTTTTTTTCCTGTTTTACTACAAATAGATTACAGTTGTGATCTCCGTGAATAACTTCAGTAATGCCTATAGGATCAGTCTCCTACTGATAGTGATAAAACATTAAAATCAGTTAGTTCCATTATTTGGTGCTCTACAGCAAAAGGATCCAGTCCAGGATCCTACATTCCATAGGGTTCCTTCTAGAGTTCTCCTTTTTCATATTTGTAATTCCCTTCTTCAACTGAGAAACCTGGTTACATTATCTTTAACATATTTATTCACTGTAGCATTCCTTCCTCTCCCACCCTGCACAGCTCCCACCTTGCTCAACCCCACCTCATGGGTTTTAGAAGTTTAACTGGAGAAATTAGTGGGAACAAATACAAAATGATCTTTGTGCAATAATTCCCATTGAAACATTATTTCTTAATAAGAAATGGGAACAACGTAACATAGAAGATTGATTAAAGGGTGAAGGAGTGATTCATAATCCTTAGAATAAAATAACTGCAGTCATTAAAAGAGATGAAAAGTATATGGAAACATACTTGCCATGTAATAATTGTTTAAAAAAAGCAGGCCACAAAATAACTGCCCAGGATATTTCTTTCCTAAAGCAAACACGCATGTAGAAACTATTGTAAGGAATATGTAAAAATATTGTTAGTGATTCTTCAGTGTTTTCAGAGTTGAAATATATATTTCTGTAATTATAAAAGAGAAGTCAGTGTCATTTTAAGGCTGGAGGAGCTGACATTACAGATGAATGTCGGATGGCTTACATAAATGCAGGGTCGAGTCCCAGCTGCTCCTTGTCTGTGCAGGGACATGCAGCTGTGCGTTCAACTTGCAGATGCCCTACTCTGCCATGACGATGAGCTGGAGGGGCGCCGGATCGCCTTCATTCTTTACCTGGTTCCTCCCTGGGACAGGAGCTTGGGGGGCACCCTGGACCTGTACAATGTCGATGGTAAGACACGCGCGTGCTCTTCAACACCCATAGCTATGTCCCAGTCCTTAGGCACAATGTCTGTACTCCAGGGAGATGGGAGCCATTGATTACAGTGACTGCTGCAGGAGGAATGAATGCCAGCCCTGACATCTGCCTCCCTGAATTGTACTTGAGATAATGATCATTCCAGACAGAGATAAGTTATAAGTGATTTAGATGAGGAGCAGTCAGACCTGGCATCTGAATACAGACTGTGGAAAGGTAGCAGAGACCATGTACACCTGCCTGTGGCTCTGAATCTGCCAGGACCAATCCATTTGACAGGGAATCAGGGTTTTTTGTTTGTTTAATAAAAACATTTTTATTGATTTTCGAGAAGGGAGAGGAAAAGAGAAATAGAAACATTATTGATGAGAGAGAATCATTGATTGGTTGCCTCCTGCATGCCTCACACTAGGGATTGAGCCCACAACCTGGGCATGTGCCCCGACCAGGAATCGAACTATGACCTCCTAGTTCATAGGTCAACGCTCACCCACTGAGCCACACTGGCTGGGCATCGGGGATTTTTATTATAATGTCTGACCACAGAGGTTGACTCAAGCCCTCATCCAATAATAGATGGGTAGTGTAGGGAGGAACAGGTGTCACCTGGCAGAACTAGCAAAATGAGCAAAGTAGCTGGGAGGGTGGTCTTTGAGGATCACAGGGTACATTCAAAGACACTTAGAAATCAGGATTGTCAGGGTGAAACGGGCTGGCCTGAAGTGGTAAGTGCTAACATGTTTATGGGTGTGTTCTCTCCTGGTGCAGAACACTTCCAGCCAAAGCAGATCGTCAGGTCCCTTATTCCTTCGTGGAACACGCTGGTTTTCTTTGAAGTGTCTCCAGTCTCCTTTCACCAGGTAAAGATTGTAAGCCACAGATGTGAGAGCACTAAGGCTGATGCCTTATAGTCTCTCATTCCTATTAGAGCTGGCTGGCCAGACTGTTTTCACACCCAGCGTGAAGGATCTAGAAGTTGGTGTGCCTTGGCCGGTAATCTCCCTCCTCATTCTTTGAGTTGATGTACCGTTGGTTTTGTCCTTTCAGGTGTCTGAAGTCCTGTCTGAAGAAAAGTCACGTCTGTCTATCAGCGGCTGGTTTCACGGTCCTTCACTGACCAGGCCTCCCACCTACTTTGAACCTCCCATACCTCGGAGCCCTCATATCCCGAGAGATGTAAGGATAAGTGCCTGCTTCCGGATTTTTATAATAACTTAGCAGTTGTAGCGTAGCGGGTGTTTTTGTGGTTTCAAAGTGGCTCTTCCTGATAATGAAACCAGGCCTTGAGCTTGCCCTTCCCCTTTTCTTAGATAAACTTGGCTGGTGTCCTTCTCAGGCAGTTTCCCTGCGCTTTATATTTAACAAGGAGACAATTATAAATTGAGGATTTGCACTTATTATTTTACTTCTGTGAAATGATGTGAGAACAAAAGCAATAGGAATTAACTCACCTTTTGCATCTGCTGCTTCTTTGTAAGCATGAAATTTTGTATGAGTGGATCAACCCTACTTATCTGGACATGGAATACCAAATTCAAATTCAAGAGGAGTTTGAAGAACAGTCTGAAATCCTCCTAAAGGATTTCCTTAAGGTAGGTCCGCATGTCCCGTCCGCTCTGTCTTGTTTGGCATGCAGTCTTGCTTCTTTGGGGGGTGAATAGGCATCACCAAGAGTTTTTCTTGTTTTTGTTTTGTTCCTGGTTAGACTGTTTAGGTCATCCTCTACTTCACATAAGACAGAGAGATGATGTTAATAGCTAACATCGGTATCAGTTGTGTGTTTAGTGGGTTAAGAGTCCCTTGGGCCAAAACCGGTTTGACTCAGTGGTAGACTGTCGGTCTGCGGTCTGAAAGGTCCCAGGTTCGATTCCGGTCAGGGGCATGTACGTTGGTTGCGGGCACATCCCCAGTAGGGGGTGTGTAAGAGGCAGCTAGTCGATGTTTCTCTCTCATCGATGTTTCTAGCTCTCTATCTCTCTCCCTTCCTCTCTGTAAAAAAATCAATAAAATATATATTTTTTTTAAAAAGAGTCCCTTGGGTATTCTCTATTTCTCTAGAATCTTAATGATACACACACAGAGGCGGGGGTAGGGGGGTGCTTATACACTGGAGTTGTGTGTCATTCCCGTCCTATTCATTTGATGACTCTGGTGCATGCTATGACTTTTAGTGAGACAGATTGCTAATTGATCAGCACCTATTGATGAATGTTTGACAGTGATGAAGCAACACTTTATAGTGAGAAGCAAGCTAGAGCAGAAGTCGGAGACCTTATAGTCATGCCTGGCTCTGTGATTTACTAGCCTGACCAGATCACTCAATCCCTGAGCTCTAAACCTGCCTGTCCATCTTGAAGGGTGGTGGGGGCCAGAGGAGATCATGTCACTGGTGTGGTGCTTCACAGTTGACCCTGAGTGCCATGGCATCACAGTCCCAAGAGCGGTTCCTCCGTGAGAAAAAGGTTGAGACAGTACATATTCTCTGTCTCAGAATTGTATTGCTGACGTTAGCTATTAAGGAATTTGAAAAGTATCATAGAAAATAAACTTCTTTAAACCCTGTGTAATTCAGCTTAACTACACCATGCTTTGGAATCCTTTTCCTACTTTGCTGATAGGCCTACTATTTTCAGAACACTCCTTGGGAAACTGCATTAAGCAGGTACATAGCTCCTTGGAAAATATTTTAGTAAGTTAACCTAATTCTTGTACTGAACTTAACGTTTTAAGTTTAGAGTGTTGATTAAATGAAAGGAATGAGCTGAGGCCTAGAGAATCCATATTGTTTACAGATTTTCATTGTAATGACATTGACTGTTTTGCTTTAATTTCTCCCCCTCACATCTTATGAATTACAAAGTCTATATTATGATCCTTATTTTATAAATGAAGGAGATTAAGAGGTTGAGCAATCTGATACAAGATAAACAACTACTTCAGGAAATGGTCCAAGTAGACACTTGAGTCGCTTGGCTGAAGCATGCTGACGATTTATCCCATCTTTTCTCTGGCTTTTTATCAGGACTGGGGAATGTTGTGTGGAAAGGGTGAGAGTCAGCTGACCCCTTTAAGAATCAGCCAGATGGTTCTGCAGAGCTTCCACACCAGCAAGACCAGGGAGGAGTCCCAGGGAGATTTGCTGACTGCTTCTTTATTTGCTCATTTTCCAGCCTGAGAAATTTGCGGCGGTCTGTGAGGCTTTGGAGAAAGGAGGTGTGAAATGGAACAGCCGAGGGCCCCCTAACAAAAGGTAGGACCCCTCATCCAAGACATTTGCTTCTGCAAATTATCCCCTATGCTGTTTATTATCCCCATATCAAGGCGCCTGTCTGCCTGGGCGGCTCACTTCCCTAGTGATAGCTGGTTCCCAGGGACATCCAGTACCAGGCCCGAGCAAAAGCTCCCTGTTGTCATATGTACTTTAGTAGGTAGCTATGCCAAGAATTAGGGGGGAGGCCCAAAGCTAACTGTCAGCTTTTATTCCATGAGTAATTTTATATCTGTGGCTTTGATAAAAACCGCCATTGCTGCTTTCCAGGTTTTATGAGAAAGCCGAGGAGAGCACGCTTCCCGACATTCTCCAGGACTGCATGACATTGTTTCGCTCCGAGGCACTGTTCTTGCTGCTGTCCAACTTCACGGGCCTGAAACTTCATTTCTTGGCCCCTTCCGAAGAAGAGGAGATGGGGGGCACAAAGGAGGGAGAACCAGACTCTGCTCCTGAGAGCACTGAAGAAGGGACGAGCCATAGCTCCTCGGAGCCAGAGACTCATCTGGCAGCTGCCAGCAACAACAGCCAGCAGAGCAATGAGCAGGCAGGCCCAGAGCCAGAGGAAAAGGAAGCCAAGGAAGGTAAGCTTCATGGCTTGTCCTGGTTTTCCATTCAGCACTCACCATTCAGTCATGCATTCAACAAACATTTCTTGAGTATCTACTGTTTGTTAGGTCCTGTTTGGGGAGTTGGAGGAAAAAAAGCACAGACAAGGTCCTTGCTGTCCTTGAGCTCACATTCTAAAAGGAGAGGACAGTTTGTTTTTTTAAAAAATATATTAAAAAAAAACATCAATTTCAGATGTTGAGACGAACAAATCATTGTCATTCCTTTGCAATCTAGCAGTGGTATCAAAGTTATTTTCATATTAAAAGCCCTGTGCACAAAATTCATGCATGGGTAAGGTCCCTAGGCCTGGCCAGTGATCAGGACTGATCTGTGGGGGAACTGGCGGGGCGATCAGGGGACCCCTGATGGCACCTACATTGGCTGGGCTAAGGGCAGCTCCTGCATTTAGCGTCTGCCCCCTGGTGGTCAGTGCACATCATAGCGACTGGTCATTCTGCTGTTTGGTTGATTTGCGTATTAGGCTTTTATTATATAGGAATTTCTGGCCTTTTATTTATTTTATTTTTTTTTTCTTAGAATCAAGTGTTCCCACGTGTCAGGGTGAACTGAGGCATTGGCAGCCTGGTCACTACACTTTAATCCATGACAACAGCAAGACTGAATTTGCCCTGGACTTACTTCTTTACTGCGGCTGTGAAGGTAGGAGGTAGGAGAGGAAGCAGTGACTGTTGCCTTAAAGGTACAGTCTCTCCTGCATGCCCCTCTCCAACTGAACTAGTTCAGAAGTATTTGCCTTATCCAGGATCTCAGAATTGGAAGGGGTATTAGGGGTGGTGAATTTCAGCCTCCCAACTCAAAGTAGGATTTGTACCTGTGACCAGGGTGTGGGAGATGGACCGAACCATACATACTTACCCTCCAAGAATGTCCGCCTCCCCGATATATTGTCCTTAAATCTAACATTTAGTTCTTAGTGTTGAGTTCTTTAGTGTTAATTGAATGGTAAATTCAGGCTCCTAAGTCATAGTGTTGGTTACTGCTAGACTCCCAATCCCCGGTTCACGCAGCATGGGATCAGTGGTCTAAGCAGCAGGTGAGAGCTTTCTGAATTTTTTTTTTTTTTTTTTTTTTTTCCTCTCCTTGTAAGGCTGGGAGCCTGAATATGGTGGCTTTACTTCCTACATTGCCAAAGGGGAAGATGAAGAGGTAAGTTGCTCCTTTATAGCAAACTATCTTTTTAGTTCTTGATGCTTTCCTTCTTCAAAAACCCAATTTTTATGACCTACCATTGTCTTTAACCAATGAGTCAATGTTGATCTGCCTGGCAGTGATCTAATTTCTAGTAGAAAGTACTCAGCATGGAACAAAAATGCAAAAGGATCATCACTAAGCATTTATTTATTCTACCCTAAGAAATTACAAATGAATTAAGAGCCACGTGAATTCCAAATGTATTAAGAGCCAATACATTCCCATCAATTTTACAATGTAATAAATGAGTGCATTAGCTGAAATTTTTCTGGGTATTAGAATGGGTTTGTTGGAAAATGACTTGACAGCCAGAGCAATAGCTCTTCCTAGTAAAAGCTCTTTATTATCCCCAGGTCAAGTACTTAAGTACCTGTCTTAAGTTCCTGATGTGGAAGTACTTGATATTCATCTGTTTAGTGATGAATCACTGAAGAGTTTAGAATAAGCTCTGTGTTCTGATGTGTCATTGTATTTGCCTGTTTCAGCTGCTAACGGTGAATCCAGAAAACAATTCTTTGGCATTGGTCTACAGAGATAGAGAGACTCTTAAATTTGTCAAGCATATTAACCACCGAAGCCTAGAACAAAAGAAAACCGTCCCAAACAGAACAGGTTTCTGGGACTTCTCGTTCGTCTACTATGAATGACAGGGCTGGGCGAAGCTGCCGAGAGAGCCCCTTCATCGGCACTGGAAAGGCTGAAGAGCTGGCATCGAGCAAAGGAGAGCTACAGGTAACCTGTCTTGACACTTCTTAAAACCGCGTGGTTGGCCTTCAGAAGGACTCACAGTGATTGTCCTCAGTCTAGACCTTGAACTTGGGGAGTTTTTAAATGTGGGGTTTCTTTTTGTGGTAAAATATGTGACATAAAATTTACCATTTTAACCAAATTCCACCACATGTGGTAGTTTCTTCCCCATAAAATACAAAAAAAAAAAAAAAAATACCAGCTCTTGGTTTCTCTCTTCCAGAGAAGTAATTTTTTAGCAAGAAGTTCTGGCTGCAGGATCTCTTCAGTGCCGTGATATATACTTACCACTGCTAATGAGTGAGAGCGTACAGATCCCAGAGGCAGGCTTTCCAGTCTCCACGAACTAAACATTCCCACAAAAACTGATTCTTCTCTGATTGACACGAAGCCAGTCCACATAGGCAGTTTTGAAAACTACTTAGGAACTGTCCATGTGGTATCATTTTAGGAAAAGCAGATTTCTGTACCAAAAAGATAACTGAGGAGCCAGAGCACATAGTGTGGGCAGGGGCCAGATGGGAACGAGGGGAAAATGCAAAACACCAGGCTGCATGGGTATCATCTTGTACTTGAGTTTCAGAGTGAAACGGGGGATAATTTAGTTCTGTGATCACAGGACTCTGCTTTTGGCAGGTTTGTAACTACTAATTACAAAATTTTAAACTTTAATAATGTTGAAAGTCATTCTTGTAAAGCATGTCCAGGGTTGCATAATGGTTATAAAGTTCCTAGTTCTTTGATTTCTAAAACTACTGACAGCTGACAGGACAAGACAGTCTCAGGGGGAGTAGCAGATGCTGTATGTGCTGAAAGCATTCGCTCAGCATTGTGGGGAGATAAAGCTGATTAAGACGCAGCCCCTGCTCTCACTTAAGAGGGGCTTAAGATTTATATAAACAGGATATAATGAGGGCTAGGAATAGACATGAGAGAGGAATGGTCTCCTGAGAAGAGAGCATTTCAGCTGAGCCGTGTGTGGATAAGCAGACATGGTGGGAACTAATACAAACCATGCTAAGATACTGAGATCCTGGTTGCGGTGGCTTGGACAGAAGTAACTGCAAGGCCTTAGGACATCCCTTATCCAGTCAGATTCCAAGTGAGAGGGAAGCCACAAGGCCATCGGTTTTCACTGCATGCAGTAGAAGTGGTCACCCCAGTCCTTCCTGAGGCAGGTTTCTCTAAAGCAACGGTTGCCAACCGGTGGTCTGCAGACTACTGGTGGTTATGAGTCTGAAAGGTTGGCAACCACTGCTTTAGAGAACTCGGCTGAGAAAGGCTGCCCTGGATGGTCCCTGAACAGCTGTAGAGAAAGCTGACATACTGAGAAATAAATGGGTCCTGGGGCATTCTGAGGTTTTAGCAGTTACCTTACTCTGGCCAATAGATCACCCTGAACTTTTAATACAAATTTGTTTACACCCACCTTTCAACGATTAAAACAAAGGCACACAAATGTAATGTCCATATTTTTTTTCTGCAATTAATAGAAATGGTTTATGCAGTTCTGACGTGGTAATTTTAAAATCAGTCAACACACATTTTATCATAAAGGTAGATAATCTATTTTAAAATTACAAATTCAATTACAGGAAAATAGATGTAATCTATACATCAACTTTACATATATGCAGAAATAATTGGACTTTGGAGCCCTGATGCTTCAAAAGTATTCACCTTCCTCCATACAAAGCTAGTATTTGGCAACCGTACTACTAGATCTTAAAAACAGAAAGTGAATACACTTCAGATGCAATGCCTTGTCTTTCATTTGTACAACTCACCAAGGTTGTTTTCATTCTCTGCACCCTCAATTCACCAGAATGAGATCCAAAGCAAACCAACCTTGATTTTAGGAAAGAACACTTTCTAGGAACTTCACCACCTATTCTCTCTCCTATGAAGAGGTTGTCCCCGCCCGCATGATTCTGAACAGAGTGTTGATGTTGTTGCTTCGAATAGCATCCCGACAAGCAGTGATCACCTGGTTCTTTGGTTTTCCAACTATATGAAAAGAAATACCAAATCAGTGCAATCTGAAAGGCTATCGAAAGTGATATTATAAATCAGAGGCCAGCTTTAAAACTGTAAAATTAGGGTAGAAGAGAGTTACAGGTAGCGCAAATTCAACTAAATTATCTTATCACTCCCTTAAAAAGATAACCTGTGTGAGGAAGTGATCACAAACCAAATCTAGAGACCATTTTAAACCTAGAAATCAAGTCAGTTTTATAGGAAAGGATCAAAGCTCATATCCACCTACCAAAGATTATTTCTAAGGATTCTGACTTTTAAGTATAAATCTCTGGTTATTTCTGCTTCCTTTGGGTTACTTCTAACTTTTAAATTGGACACAACTCATTAATTTTCAGTCTCCCCTTTTTTTTTTTTTTTTTTTTTTTTTTTTTTTTTTTTTTTTTTTTTTTTTTTTTTTAATTAATAAGGGTACTTAAGGTTTTTCTCTTGGGTATATGCCATTAGGTCTAAGAAAAGGAACTACAAGCTTTCTTTCCTCTGAAATCTGGATACTAACCAAACTGAACAGACTGACTGAAACTCAAGTGCCTGGTGCCAATGTCAGTATTAAAAGTCTCTATAGATACAGGCCCTGATATGCATTCTCGAAGCTACCACCATCTTCAGTGATTCTCACCCCCAAATTACCAATAATAGCACCATACAGACTTACCACGCAGACGGCCTGCTCTTTGGATGGCTTGATTTACTGCTTTGAGGTTTCCCAACAGCTCTGTGTGATTGTTACATCGAATCTTATATCCATTTAGCAAGTCTTTATTAAGATCATAGAGCTCCATATAGCGATTCTTCATTGTTTTCCTGCGTAAATCAATAGAAATTGAACATCATTGTACCTCGATACAGCAGGCTTACATGGGGGGAAAAAGTGCAAACTTCTTAGACATAAAGAATAGAAAACAGCACATTCTAAATTTTTCTTTGAAAACATTAAGAAGTTTCTATCAAAATACTCTATTTCTTACAAATACATGGAAGACAAGTGGTCTTCCTCTCTTATCAGTTCATGGTTTGTTTGAATTCAGGAGCCAAGAACGATCAAGTGCCACTGTGCTGGGGAAAGTGAGATGCCTGTTTCAAGGTGATAGCCTGTCTTCTAGGCTTCAGACTAACATTCATTAGACAAAACCTGCTAGACCTGCGCCTATTTATTTTCAGCTTTTTATTATAAAATGTAATGCAAATTCAAAAATAAACAGGATGTTTATTATCCAAGTCAAAAAAGCATTGCCAGCATCCCAGAAGCTTCCTGAGGAGAAAATGCTATCTTACATGAAAATCTCTTGCCTGCATTACTTTATATTTTTATCATCTCTCTATGCTTCCCAAATGATACAGTTTAATCTGTTCCCAAACTATAGTAAATGGAAGCATTTTACACATATTCTTTTGAGTTTTACTTCTTTCTATCTCATTATGCTTATAAGATCTGTTCACGTTGGCACATGTTATTGAGATACATGCATTCTCATTAGGAGTAGTCTTCCATTTGTATGGACATATCATAATTTATCCACAACAGTGTTCATGCTAGCTTAGATTGTCTCCTCTTTGGAGGATGCCTTTATGAGCACTCTTATAAAAATATCCTGTTTCATACATGCATTCGTTTCTCTAGATTACAAACCAGGAGAATTGCTGGGTCATAGGGTATGCATTTTCAGCTCTACTGATAATGCCAAGTTATTTTACAAAGTCTTTGAACCAAACACACTCCTCTCAGTAGCATCTGAGAGCTGCTATTCCATATTGCTGCCATGCTTCATCTTACACCTGTCCTAGTCATGGTAGATACTCACATGTCCCTCATCAGACGAGCATCCTCAGCTCGGACCAGCAAACTTCGGATCAGGTTGGAATTGTCAGCCATGTCAGCACTGAGCTTCTGATGCACTGAGTGATATTCATCCACCTAGAGTCCATGAACATGCAGGAATGAAAAAAAAACTCCCAGACTGCTTGAAAACCAGACAGACTGTCTACCATATAGTAAGGCCCTCTCCCCCCTGTTGACTTGACCTGTCTCAGTGGTTCTCAACCTTATTAATGCCGCGACCCTTTAACACAGCTCCTCATGTTGTGGTGACCCCCCCACCATAAAATTATTTTCGTTGCTACTTCATAACTGTAATTTTGCTACTGTTATGAATCGTAATGTAAATATCTGTGTTTTCCAATGGTCTCAGGTGACCCTGCTAGTCGAAAATAATTTTATGGTCGGGGGTCAGAACCACTGGCCCTATCTTAACCCCATTGTGTCAGTTCCTCAGTGAAGTGACCAGTCTGTGCTGACATTCCAGTTGGATCCTTTTCGTGTCTAAGCATGGGAGTCCTAGCAACGCTCAGATTAACATTCTAGAGATTGGGGGTGGGAACTCTGTTATAATTTGAGGCCAATCAAAATTGTTAGTTTTCCTTTTTTTTTTTTTTTTTTTTTTTTTTTTTTTTTTTTTTTTTTTTTGAATTTGTGTTGTTGGAAATCCCTAAACCAAAGAGCAAAGTAGATACAATTAAGATGACGAGTTAGCAAAGGAAATGCTGATATATATTTTAAAAAGCATTCCCCTAAATCAAAGAAAGAAAGCAGGGTGGTAAGGAGCCAGCCACTCACTGTTATAAAAGAAATCCTTAAACTAGTGAATTCCAATACTAGTTCAATTTTGATTTTAAGAATTTGCGGAATTCTTTAAAACATAACTATCATATAACATACAGTCGTGCCATTACTCTCCTAAGAGAAATGTTTCAGACTTAAACTACCACGTTCTCATAAATGCATCCACTGTGAGCCCTCACCTTAACTAGCACCTTTCGTAACTCCTCAAAGTAGACAGGGAAATCCGCTTCCACCTGAAGGTCTTCAACAGCAAAAAATGATGCAAGTGACTGGATGATGTCACCAGCCAGATCAATGTCATCAGTCTTCACTGTGATCTATCCAAAGGGAGAGAGCCAAGTTCAGCATCCTCAGATATTAAAGACAGAGTACTAAGCTGAAACCTGCATTTCCCCATTCTCAACACATTTCCTGAGTATAAACTGATATGTGGTGATGAATAAGATAGGGGTTAACCCTCAAAGAAATTTCAAACCACATTTATTATTGTAGCAGCAAGTTAAAAGATCATTCCTTTCGCCTCATAAACAAAATCAAACAGTGAAAATGTTCTGTTCACCTTTGTATTCCTAACCCTCCCCAAATTAGACAAGGAAGGAGGGAGGGAGGCAGCAAACCAAACAGACTAAGTTATGTCCAAGACGTTAAACTTTACCTCTCCATTAAGCTTTACTTGTACATACAGCTGGCTACCGTTCCGCAAGGATGTGAAACACACTTGAAATGGAGCATTCTGAATGTCAGTGTCTTCTGGGAGCAGAAAATTCTGGTTGAGCCATATAAAAACCTTAAAAATAAATAGGAAGATGTGAACTTCACGTATAGTCATTTTCTTTTTATTTTTTAATACATTTTATTGTTTTTTATACAGAGAGGAAGGGAGAGAGATAGAGAGTTAGAAACATCAATGAGAGAGAGTCATTGATCAGCTGCCTCTTGCACACCCCCTACTGGGGATATGCCCGCAACCAAGGTACATGCCCTTGACCGGAATCGAACCCGGGCCCTTCAGTCCCCAAGCCGACGCTCTATCCATTGAGCCAAACCAGTCCGGGCATGTATAGTCATTTTCAAGTACAGTCACTGTTAAGAGTTATCCTCCTTTCTGGTTTCATTGTTTGGTAAACAAAGAATTATACTTCACATACCACCCCCACCAGGAAATCACACTCGCTTTCCCCACTTTCTGCATGTTCATAATTATGTCTGGCCCCACAGCATGCATGATATAATAGCATCTTCAAATTAGACAAAAACTTATATGCAATGCAGAAACAATTCAGATATGATGCTAATTCTGTTCACACGATAGCTCTTCTGTGGCCATGTTCTAGACAGTGTAATCTGCTTAAAATTACTCCAGTCCATTCTTTAAAAAAAAAAAAAAAAAACTAATGAAATATGCATGCATAGACACTGTGACACATAGAAAATAAGAATAAAATTAATATTAATGAGTTATTCACAGTGGTTTGTAATGCAAGTTCCACATAAAAACCACCCTGAGGCTTCTGGAAGGGCCCGCCTATAGTGTCCAGTTCCGTGGACTAGGCGGGGCCTGAGAATTCCATGATTGAAAAGCCGCACTAAGAATGCTGAGGGCCAGCCATGATTAAAGTCCATTGGTATCAGGCCTCTCAAATTTACATGGTGTTTTCACACCAATTATGTAATCTTCACATGGGAGGTAAGATATCCTCACAGATAAGGAAACAGGCTCAGACTGGTGCAGGGCATTTCCCCGAAATCACTAAGAATTCAATCAGTTAAGGCAGCATTTAAGCCCAAAAATATTCCCAGCCCCAAGTCCCCTGCTCCTTCCACTTTGATGCAGGGTCCTCATTAAATAGTAGGTCAGGACAACCACACTGTTACCATAACTATGGAAAGAAATTAACTGGCGAGCATTCGCCTGTAACTAAAAGTGTTCAGGTAAATACGGTCTGTATTTTTTTAGAATGAGGGGGGTTACTTTAGCAACCTTTTGGTACCAGGTTATCAACCAACTCCAAGCCCCATCACTCATGTCATATGTACTGCTATCAAATAGCTGACTCATAGGGTTCCTCTCTTCTAATAAATAACAGCCAAAGGATCCTAAAATGCAGAAGTACTGAAAGAAAAAAGCCAGATGCTCACTCTCTGGGCCCGTTCAGCAATCGTGAAGTTGACATAGCCGAGTGGCTGGCTGGCGGAGTCCGGGCTGGTCAGCGCGTACATGGAGAATCTTGGGAGCTGTCTTGTCAGCTCAAATACGTGGAACTGGGTGCTGTGGCCGACCAATGGGACACAAGAGAACTTTCATGTAGAACGGCGTTTCAAAGCGCAAGGCCCAGAAAATACAGTCACTGAGTCATCATGGTGATATTTAAGAGTTTCACAGATGGTCAACCGAAACTTGAGGACTAAGTAGTACGTTAATGGGGGTTGAGATTTGGAGATAATGTATTATAAGTCTACGTATACGTATAAACCAAGGGCTTAAAAGACCCTAGAAGGCTTTTTGTCTTCCACAAACCCAGTGGATTTCCTCCCCAAGCTGAGGTTATATAAAACCCTAATATAAAGCTGCATCCTAATCCTTACAGTCTTATGGTCGAAGCTAGAAGTTGACAAATCATTAGTTAACCATATTTTGTGATGATAAAATCATCAGACTAAAACCAGAGAATAACCTTCTAAAACTTAAACAGTCTCCCTTTTTGGAAGATTTCAAACTAGTGAAATAAGGTCCTGGGAACCATGAAAGGCTCCTGTGGTCCCGCAGGATCCCGGGCGTGATGGAAAACCCCACGCCTCTCGCCCTCCTCTGTGTCATCTGCAAATAAACGGACTTGCAGAGGGTCACCTGCTTCTGTACCCCACGAAGGTTTTCAAGTGCAGATCCACAGGGACGTCTTTGGGGGGGGTGATAGGGATGCAGATGGAGCTGGAAAGGTTGTGAATGCTGGGGTGTACCACGTGACTTTCACCTAGAAAAATGCCCTCTGCGAAAATCAGTACCGCTCGGATGATGGTGTCTGCAGGGGAGAGGGGAAACAGAAGGCCATTGAAGAACCGCTCGGAGATAGCACAGGGGCCTGAGAATGCCAGCTACAAGTAACTTCTTACCGTTCGAAGTGGAAATGCACAGTTCTGTGTGAGCAGCCCGGGTCTCACTCCCCAGGTTGACCGAGAGGGCGGTGTGCAGCTTGGTGTTGGCTGGGATTATGCCCCACTGCCCATCGGCCTCATTCAGCGGACTGCTCCACTCGGCCTGCAAAACATCCACCGCTTCCAGCTCAGTCACCACCAGGGAACTAACGGCACCTTTAACCCTGTGGTTATCTTATATGCACCTGGTTTTTCAGAATTCAGAAGACTCCTCCTTGGCGCCCCCTTGCTCTACCAACCTTCTCCCAAGCAAAAACACCCACATCCCTTTCTGTGTCCCAGGTCCACTGTACCCCATCACGCCTTTCACATTTTTAACACTGATCTTTTAAAGTAACAAAATTCCATTTAGCATAGCAAACTCAAAAATAGTTCTGTGTGCCCTAACCAGTCTGGCTCAATGCAAAGAGTGTCAGTCTGAAGACTGAAGGGTCCCAGGTTCGATTCTAGTCAAGGGCACAGGCTAGCGTTGCGGCTTGATCCCCAGTGGGGGGCATGCAGGAGGCAGCGATCAGTGATTCTCTCATCATTGATGTTTCTATCCTTCTCCCTTCCTCTAAAATCAATGCAAGTGCCTATTTTTTTAAATGGGCTGTTTTATCTAATACAATTTAGTTAAGCCTATATACATAAATACTGACTTTCTCTAGGCGCCCCTGCCAGAGGGAAGGAGGGAGCCCGCACATGGCAGACATTTTCTCGTTCTGCTTTCACGTGCCGCCCCTCACCTTTTCAGATTCCATGTCCCCTCCACGTTAATGCCCCACCTTGGCGTTTTCCTCGTAGTTATGGAGTTCCAGCAACAGATTCTGTTTTTTCTGACTCAGCTCTCGGATAAGCTCCTGCTCTACGCTGGTGTCCATGAGGTTCCCTCTCATCTCCGCCGAGCCTGGCAGGTAGCCCCGGACTGAGGAGAAGGAACAAATGCGCGTCACACTAAGGAAGAGCCCGAGCACAGCCAGGTCTGCTTGCAAGTCATCCGTCACCTGGTCCGATAACCAAACACCTAAGTTCTCATTGCCCCAACGTGGGTAAACTTGTGAGGACCAGAGGACAGCAATGCAAACATTTTCCGGTGGAATTTCTGGTACTTTGACCCAGTCACACTGAACATCTGACTTCTCAAGGATTTTCCCATCCCAATTTACTTTCCCCATCCACGGAGCAGCAGATTAACTGGACGTGGCCATCCATCCGGTAGTCTCCCTCCACCACGCCAGCGATGGAGGAAGAAAAGTTGTCTTTAAAGATGACCTCCCCAGTTCGGTCACTTCGAGCATCAACCTGAAAATAAAATGAGAACTTGGAAAATTGCTTATATTAACTGTTTTTTAAAAACACAAAAACTAAAGATCATTTAGTTGAGCAGTTTCCAAGAGTCTACCTCCATGGAGCCCTGTGGCTTCTGAGGAGGCACCTGGGACCTCGGGTCTGAGGCCACCTGCCTGGGTTCCAGCCCCAGCTTTGCCCTTGCTATCTCTGGATCTCAGGCAAGTTTCTTAACCACCCTGGCTGGGCTTGTCTCCTCATCTGGGGAGGCAGTCTCTCATGACAAGAACATGAGGACTATACCTGCACATACACCCCTTAGCACCGGAGTGAGCCCTAAAAGATTAAACCACTTAGAACAGGGCCTGGCATGTAAAGGTAGATAAGAAAGGTTAGTTCTATATACAAAATTTTCTTTATTACATATAAATGTGTGAAATATAGCTCTATCTAAAGTTTGAAAATGCCAAACTAGCCAACCTTGTGCCACAGATATAACCTTTCATAATTCGCTGTTTAAGAGTCCCTCTTCCCCTTAAAAACTATTGGGATACCTGGCGAGTCTCCTATCATCTTTGAGTCTCCTCTGCCTAGGAGAGGCAAATACATACCCAACTCACCAGAAACAAATGCATCTCAAAATCAACAATGAAGGAGGATCACTTACTGATAAAGTGATGATTGTGTTCTAAGCAAAACACGAGTTCTCAACAAAAGACTAGCTATCGAAAATATCAATGGCCCAGGCCACTCACTACTTTTATCTTTTCATAAACATCCTCTAGTCAAAATTGAGAATCATCACTGGCAGACAGAGAGGGCAAACGGTGCCATGGAGATGTGGCAGCACGCAGGCAGTCTCTCACAAAACAGTGCTGACCTGCCAAAAGACTACAAAATTCTGATTTGAAGTGAGAAAAGCGGAAAGAAAAAATGTGGAAAGGTTAAGAAGTTAAGTTTTAAAGCACCGCCAAGGAATGCGACTTTGTACCCTCACGTTACTGTTCTGAATCATGCAGCCAAAATGTCTCGGATAATTATTACTTTGAATTACACCTGAACTCTGCTATTTAACTTACCTTCCCATTGGACCAACCAGTTATCAGTTCGCACACGCCATCAGAATTAAGGTCAAAAGCATGAATGCTCATGGCATAATTTTTGGACTGAAAAGGAATTTCAATAATCAGTACAGAAGTCTCTCAGTGTGTAGAAAATCTCTGCATCGCAGAGGCTGAATCATACTAACTTTAATTCTCCAGTATCGGGCTGTTTTGTCGTAAACTCCAACTGTGCCATTGGCAAGGGCATAACCAAACCGGCTGCCATACACCGAGCAGAGAGAGGTGACTATCTGCAAAAAGTAGCACATGGAAATACCTCAGCGTTTCATTAATACTCAACCTAAGGTGAAGCATGGCTGTATAAAACTGCATGCCTTGCTACAGCGTGTTGAAATTAGATTTAAATGCACTTCCAGTCCATTAGTGGATAAGGTATTCCTCTTTTCAAATTCATCTATTTCACAGGCTGGATAATCAGAATTGAATAAACTCCCAAAGTGTGCTGTTTTAGATCAAGCTTATGTGGCAAGTTTTAGCAAATTACAGAGAAATACAATGAGATTGAGGGATAGAGGAGGAAGTAAGCTAAGTACACAAGAACTAGAGTATGTACAATTCACACTAACTCAAAATGTTTTCATGATGATTCCAATATTTTACCTTCACTTATAAAATCCCATCTAGCCGAAACCAGTTTGGCTCAATGGATAGAGCGTCGGCTTGGGGACTGAAGGGTCCCGGGTTCGATACTGAAGGGTACCTTGGTTGCGGGCATATCCCCGGTGGGGGGTGTGCAAGAGGCAGCTGATCGATGACTCTCTCTCATCGATGTTTCTAGCTCTCTATCTCTCTCCCTTCCTCTCTGTACAAAATCAATAAAATATATTTTTTCAAAAAAATCCCATCTATTTGTTGTTCCACTTATTTATGCATTGATTGGTTGATTCTTGTTTGTTCCCTAGCGGGGATCAAAACCACAACCTTGGTGTATCAGGATGACACTCTAACCAACTGAGTTATTTGGCCAGGCCCATGAGCTAAATTAAAAAAAATAATAATAATAATACAAAATCCACCACTGAATGTCTTTTATGTGTGTACTTTTCTTTCTGTAACATAATTTGTTTGCAGAGATGAAAGACATTTTTTAGAAAGAAAAACCCCCACATAATCCTTAGAAAAGTGACACCCAAGCACATGCTTCTATGTATGCATGTGATAATACACAGAATGCATGTATTAGGACTGGGATTTAACATCTCAAACATTAATTTTTACATACTAAACAAAATTACCTTTTGAAGTTAAAACCAAAGCTTAATAACATCTATGATCTTGCAGGCCTACTTTCTCATTCTGGCTCTAATAAAAGATATTTAAGAAATAAACTGTGAAGCAGAGAATAGTTATGTAATTTCCTTTACACCTACAGCTTTTCTACAAAACCACCCACATCACCTAACTCTGAATACAAAGTACTGTTAGGGTTTCAGAATTATTTAGCTCGAGGCATTCTTCTGGCAATACTTGGTACTGCTGAACTGCCAAATAAATTATGATTTTGCTGATATGGGAAAAGACATTTGAGCTAGGGGCAAAATCAAACTGACAGGACAAGAAAATGCCTGAAATGAACAACTTTTACAAAGTCCACATTTTCATATATTTAAGCCCAGATTGCCTGTGCCCCTTAGTCCTTCCTTAGTTCAACTAGTTTTTCTTGTGTGGACCAGTGGGTCAATAGTCACCTCAAAGCCCTGGTTCTACTGCATGTTTTTCTGGCCTCTTGTAGGATTTAGAAAAAGAATGCACCCTCCTCATATCCAGTATTGACAACAAACAAAAATCTGAAACGTGAATGATTCCCACCAAATGGGAAAAGATTTACTACAAATTTGCATGAAAGGGAAATGACAATTCGGGCACAGCACCTACAGGCCAGTGATTGTCAAGTTAGTTTTTTGAGGGGAGAGGATCAGGCTGAGAGGTGGAGAACCCCTGTAAGAATCTAATGAGCCTGGCCAGTGTGGCTCAGTGGTTGAGTGTCAACCCAAGAACCAGGAGGTCACAGTTCGATTCCTGGTTAGGACACATGTCTGGGTTGCAGGCTCGATCTCCAGTAAGGGAGTGCAGGAGACAGCCAATCAATGATTCTCTCTCATTAATGTTTCTCTCCCCGCCGCCCTTCCTCTCTGAAATGAATAAAAATATTTTTAAAGAATCTAATGAAAGCTAAGGAACCCTTCTCCAGAAAAAAACACATGTTAAGCACTTACACACAAAATAGAACCCCCTATACAGACACATGTCTTCAGACTACTGCTTTTTGCATTCATCTCTCTCCTTCATTTCTTCTTTCCATAACTACCACTTCACAACCATAGTGACTGCAAGTATATAAAAAGCATAGTAGGACTAAGTAAAAATCCAAAGCTCTCGCTATATAGTAATGGTCAATTAATTAGTCATTGGTAACACTTTATATAAATATGCAAGCTTTATTTTTTGGCTTCCTCTGCAGTTAGGGGAACAGAAGCCTGACTCTCCTGAGTTGCTTTTGTAAGTGTTGAGAAGCAGGAATAAGTGGTCAAGTGTGGTTTTCAGGCCAGACTCCCAAACACCACGTGACTACACTTTGCAGAATCGGGCCATTCTGACCTCTTAGACTCCTTTATCTCTCTCTTTCCCCTCCCCCCTCCCCCCATCGGTTTATGGTGTTCACAAGCCATTGCTCCTTTATCCTCTTCTACTTCCTTAATTCAGAATATCCTAATTCCTCTATTTCCATCTTGCTCAGTGCTGGAAAAACAGCAGCTTATACCCTAAGAATGTCAAAACAACCAAGGACAAGGGCAATCTTAGGGACTACTTTGAAAAATGAAGTTTAAATTCTTTCAGAAACATCAGGTTCGATCAGATGAAGTAATTATAGTCACAAAGAAACTAGCCAAGTTCTCTAACATCTAATTCTTAAGTTCATCTACAGAAATGAGCCTAAAAAGTACTTAAATTGAACGAAGAGAAAAAGTGTAAAAAACCTCACTTAGGCCCTTCATTCAATCCATTTAACAGACAGGAGGAGGAGGAAGAGGACAAGACACACAGGCTCAATTCCTGACCAAGCCACTTAATAGCCAAGGCCTGTGTAATTTAACAAACTTAATTCATTAAAGTGGGAATAATAGTATTTCCTTCCCAATTGTGTTGTCGTAGAGTTAAATGACTTAATTCCTGCAAAGCACTTAGAACAGTGACTGGCATATACTAATATTAACAGTACTAGTGAACAATAGTGGTGGTGATGATGATGATGTAAATCATTAAAGAAAATGCCTTTCCACTCAGTAATTTTCCTCTATTTAATGTCTTTTCAAAATATGTCTTATACTAGATTTTAAATGCTTCCTTCTCTGTAATGTCAGCTCTGTTTAACCCCCCCAGTTTACCCTATGACGGCCTCGATTGTGAGATGGCCCAGCCCCTTCAGCTGATGTTACAGCGGACTATGCTCATCTATCTTGCCCACTGTCACACTGCTCACCTCTGTTTCTGTCATTTCTGCCACGATCTCATCTTCTTTAAAAACTCGGATATCAAAGTCCTCAGATCCAACGAGAAGCTTAAAATAAAAACATGCATGTTTAGTTCAGCAAGTGAACACAAACATTCCCATAAATAAGACAAAAAAATTGCATAACTTTTTGAATGTTGCTACCGCTACCCAAAACTTCTAGTTTCCCAGCAAGCTAATGCTGGGGAAAGTTCCCTCCAATGTGAAGGTCAACAAGTTCAGTCAGTGAAGAAACAGTGGCTTGCCTGGCCAGTATGGCTCAGTGGTTGAGCATCAGCCTATAACCAGGAGGTCACAGCTCAATTCCCCAGTCAGGACACATGCCTGGGTTTCTGGACTTGATCCCCAGTGCGGGGCATGTAGGAGGCAGCCGATCAATGGTTCTCTCATCATTGATTTTTCTATCTCTTGCTCCCTCTCTGAAGTCAATACAAATATGATGTTTAGAAAAAGAAATAGTAGCTCTAGAAATTTCCTCCAGCCATGGGGACCGCACATCCCGCCAGGGCGTGTTCTTCCACCGCACCTGAGAGCGCTCGCTGGTTCAGCCCCTGCCTGCCTCAGATGGAAGCCCCGTTTCCAATGCCAGAGCCTGGCACCCACGGGCAAGAGAGGGGCAACTCACTGCCCAACAACAGCAGCTCACTGGCTGCTCAAGAAGCTACTTTTTAGAGGAACCATGAGGATCATTTCAAAGACTCAGAGGCAATTCCTAAAACTTCTAAATTCCTGAAAAGTTGGCCAAAATTGAAAACTGTTTACTGATATGATTCGAAAGCATCAAAAGCAAGTTATAAGACTGTGACTATGACTGCAATCCCATCAACTGTTCCACCCTCCCTCCCGCTCCTGTGTCTCTGAAACATCACAGCCTTGATCTTTGCACTCGACAGACAAAGTGATGTATTGTTCAAGAGAGAGGAGAAGGACAAACGAGGCCAGCGAGCTCATTTAGGCAACAGGGCCCCCGCAGCAACCATGAGAAGCTGACACTTCTCCCAACACCAAGGTCACTGTCACGGGAAGATTTATTCAGCTGAACACAGAGAAGTTTCCCCTCCCCCACATACCTCTCTTTTCCCATCACCATCGAAGTCGCACAAGGCCAAGGAATGAACATTATCTCCAGTGACCTGAAAACAAAACCCGGTATCATGAGCATGCCCTCTTTTTCCACTCCACCCAACTATCCCAGCCACAGGAAAGGGAAGATTACAAACCACCAACAGGTGTTATTCAAATTCTGCATATTTTTTAATGCACAGGATTATAAATACAGATGGTAAAAAACAAAGCTAAATCAAGAACATTTAAAGTTAAGATGCTTAAGAGTCCTAAAGAGAGTGTTTTGTTCTTCCTACCGTCCAGAAGAGGTCCTTTCCTTCATGATCGAAACCCTGCAGAGCACAGTTTCCCCCGATGATCGCAAGAGGCGAGGAAATGTCTCCCAGTGCCCCCAACACAATTGCATTGGCCCCATCTGCCACCTGAGAAGAAAAAATAAATAAAATCTCAGATAACAAGCATGCGCAGGCACTCGGGAGGTAACATGTATCCTTATCTGTATTTGGACACTCAAATTCCTCCGTCATCAATTGTGAGAGACCACAGGGTCTCCTGAGAGGCAGGTGTATGTCACTGTGGCGTACGTGTGCTGAGGCAAAGCTGAGCGCAGATCCAGGGTACACTTGGGCCCTTGGCGGCACACACTAAAGTGCTACGAAGTCCAAGGCTCTTTAGGATATTTGATCAACCATTATTCTAGATGTTTCTGGGGAGGTATGTTTAGATAAGATTAACATTTAAATCAGTAGACTTTGAGTAAAGCAATTATACTCTATAATGTGGGTGATCCAAACAGTTGAAGACCTTCATAGAAAAAAGACTGGTCCCTGAGGAAGAATTCAGAACACTGCCTTCAGACTTGTGTTTCAACATCAGCTCTTCCTTGGGTCTGAAATTTTGGACTCGACAGCCTTCACAACCAAGTGAACCAATTCTTTAAAATATATCCCTCCCACCACTCTCTCTCTCTACACATCCTGTTAAGTCTGTTTATCTGGAGAATCCTGACTAATGCAGTCCTAAACTCAATTCCAGTCTTGTGCAACAACACAGGAGGTGTATCTGTGTGAACAAAGATTCTTAGAAGGTCAGGAAAAGCACTCACTCACAGTTAAATAAATTTTAAAAAAACGATTGATTAGCTGGACTTTATCAAAATTGAAAACTTTTACTCATCAGAAGATACCTACCTGTTGGAATAAGCCACATACTGGGAGGAAATATTTGTTATATATAAATCTGACAAAGAACTTGTACCCATTATTTCCAAAGAACATCTACAAATCAATAATACACTCAAACTACTAATAAATAAATAGGCAAAGACTTCAACGCTTCACAAAAGACATGTAAAGAGGCCCAGCAAAGGGAGTTCTATATCACTGTTCATGGGAGGAATGCAAAATGAAAGCGGTTAGCAGTCTTGACCAAATAAACATCAAGTGGATGAAGCAGATGCAAATGGCAAAATCACCGCGGTGTTTGAATACAGTGCAACAGCCACATAATAAACCAAAATAAATGTCTGATCTCCCTCAAGCATAACAAAAATGAACCTTAACGGGTAATGGGGATTTTATGGTTATTAAGGGGCATACTTGCCTCTCTGTAGAAAAAATCTGAATTATTGTAGACATCGTAAGCCAAAAGATTAGTCTGTGTACCCACTAAAAGAGCATCACAGCCAAGTTCAGGGTTCAATACTCCTGCCGTCAGGCAGCTGACAGCCTGGTTGATGTTGAGAAGAGAAACGTCAGACTCCAGGGGGCTCTGCAGGACTCTGGGCGCACTGAAATGCTGGCTCCGGGTATGAGGATTGTGAATAAAAACCTACAACAAAACCAGTTCGTTACATTCCCGTCAAATACCAAACATGTAAAATTAACATACATTTTTTTAAAAGACTAGGTCATTAACAGCTATCAACATTAACAAAAGGTAACTTTAATCATTGATAAACCTAATTAAAACACCTACAACTCAGTTCTGTGCATGGCTGGGTTTCAATCACTATGAATTGTGGGAATCCGTGGTTCCTGGCATTGTAAAGAACAAGGTCATGTACAAGGCCTAGTTGCATACTAGGGCAGCTTAAGCGCTCTGACACACCAAAACGATCCCAACAAGTAAAAGAATAAACACTTCCTTTAGTATCTTTCAACCAAGCACCGAATGAATTCACTTCCTAACCCTTAAAACAGTCTGGCAGTAAATTTTACAAACTTCAACCGAGTCATACAAATCTTAGATATAAAAATACATTTTGCCCCCTTTATTGTCCGGTTCCCAGTGTAAGCTCTAAGGGGGAGAGACTTGTCACATTCACCCTTGCACCTGCAGAGCTAAGAACAGTGCCCAGCACATATAAATACCTCAATAAATTAGGGGCTAAGCTGCTATCAGTGGGCCCTTCCCAGAAGAAACAATATGAATTTCTTTCTGGCATTTGTCAGTGCTTCTTAACAATAACAATGGGCATTATTATTTGCCAGGGCCTAAGTGCTTTACTTCATTAAACTATGTAAAGAAATTTTATTTTTTAAATCATGTACTCCAAGGCATATCATAAGAATATACAAGGTAAGGGGAAGTGTTATTATGTAAATGTTTTAATCATTATGAAATCTGCACTGGGTCAGAAAACAAGACTTTCTAGTTGAGGGACCTCAAGTAGCACTTGACACCTCTCTGAACCACTCGTCAGTGAAGTGGGAGGGATAAAAAATAACAACCATTGGTGACCATTTCTTTTTTCTTTTTTTTTCTTTTTTTTAATATATTTTATTGATTTTTCACAGAGAGTAGGAGAAAGGGATAGAGAGCTAGAAACGTCGATGAGAGAGAAACATCGACCAGCTGCCTCTTGCACACCCCCCACTGGGGATGTGCCTGCAACCAATGTACATGCCCTTGACCAGAATCGAACCTGGGACCTTTCAGTCCGCAGACCGACGCTCTACCACTGAGCCAAACCAGTTTCGGCGGTGACCATTTCTTATATGCCAAATGCTTCATATGCATTAACTGACTAGTATTTAGTCCTCAGAACCCGAAGTTGTAGATATTATTATCAAGTAACTCACCCAGATCATGACATTAGTAGGTCATGACATGTGCTGCTGCCCTTGGCATTGTTGCAAGAATGCCGAGATAATGTCAATTCTCAACATCTACCACTTTTTAAAAAATTGGTGACCCTTGAATGACCATGTCTTGCTCATCTCTGTGACTCCCACACCTTGCCCAGCACCTGGCATATCTTTTCCCACTAAGTACAGAGTTATTCAGAGAATAATTTACGGGAAAAGATGTGAATGTACATGGATACATATAATAAAGTGCAATCTGAATCATGGCGGGGGTTGCTGTATTCTTTTCTCTTTTTTTCCCCCATCAAGTTGTGTGGCTGGGGCAGTCTGAGTTGGTGGAAGGAGTTCCGAGGGAAAGGCAGAGAATCAGAGGTCTGTTACCGCTGCTAACCCTGACCAGTCCCTTCCCCTGGCAGAGTTACTGCTCAGAAAAGCTATTCATGCGAGACCCCATAGTTCTTTATTCTGCGCCGGATGGAGAACTACCGGACTACAGACCGGTTGCCGGGCAACCCACGGCTGGGGGCGGAGTCGGGGATGAGGGGCGGGGTCGAGGGTAGCGGCCCGCGGAGATGGTGGGGCTCTAGGGGCCCGGGATCCGTGCAGGCGGGAGCGGTTACCTTGCCCGCTTGGGTGGCAGCCGCCAGGCACGGATGCGTCCCGTCGAAGCGCCCTACGGCCACCATGCGGGGGTTGATTTTGTGGCGCAGTTTCAGGGTGAACACGGGCAGCAGCATGATGGCGGCGGCCCCGGGGAGGGCGGCTGGCGGCCCGAGGCCGGCGCAGCGGAGCCGGTCTCACCCGCCGCGGGGCGGGGCAGGGATCGGGCCAACTTCCGCGGCTCCGGCAGCCCCGGGCCGAGCGCGAAACGGCCCGGGTCCGAGGTGTCCCCACCCCCCGGCTGTCCTGCCAGCTACTCCGCGATTGCGCAGACCCGCCCAGCTGCTTCTGCGGCTGCGCAGACCCGCTCAGCTGCTTCTGCGGCTGCGCAGGCTCCGCCCAGCTCCTTCTGCGGCTGCGCAGTGGAGCCTCTCCGGAGGCAGAGCCTGAACTTGATGGAGTCACGTGTTTTGCTGCTGGAATTTATCTTTATTTTCCATCCCTAAGGTGTCTACAGTAGCCGGGCCTGCACCAGCGCACCCGCGGGGCTTCTCCTCCTAGCACTACAGCTTTCCACAAGTGGTACAACTTGTGCTGGTCCTGTAAGATGCTGCCAGATTCATGAATAATAGCTCAATAAAGCCAATTAGGTCTTCAAACTTACTCCATTGAATTTTGTTTGTGTGTATGTGTGTGTGTGTTTCAATAACACTTTAATAATAGATACTGACCCTTGAATTTCATATAATTTTCACATGTCACAAGATGTTATTCATCTTTTGCTTTTCCCTCTAAACCATTTAAAAATGTGAAAATCGCCAAAACAGGTTTGGCTCAGTGGATAGAGCGTTGGCCTGCATTGGCCTGCGAACTCAAGGGTCCCTGGTTCTATTCCGGTCAGGGCCATGTATCTTGGTTGCGGGCACATCCCCAGTGGGGAGTGCGCAGGAGGCAGCTGATCCATGTGTTTCTCTCATCTGTTTCTAACTCTCTATCCCTCTCCTTTCCCCTCTGTGAAAAATCAATAAAATATGTTTAAAATCTCTTAAAAATGACTTCTAGAATATTGTTGATATTTGCATTTTGTAAATTCAGCTGTACAAATGAGCATCTTTTTTTTTCAAACCTATCGGTGCATCTTGACTAGTTGTAATCTCTTTTGTATTAATGTCCAAAGACTAAATTTGAGGATGTAGAAGGCAAGACCTGAGCCTGTAGCCAGATAGGCCTTGCCTCTGAGTTCTCCCAGCCCCTTTCTGCCCCACTTCCTCTTCTGCCCCACCTCCAGATCCCACAGTCCTGTAGCAGTTCTCTGACCAGTCCTGTCATGGAAAATGCCCGGGGTCTGAGCTTCTGCCCTCCAGCCCTGTGAGGGGGGTAAGCCCGCAGGCCTCGACAGCACAAAGACCTGGGTTCAAATTCCTCACCCATCAGTCACTCCCATTTATTGAGCGCCTTCTCTATGCACTCTTGACACACACATACTCCTTCTACCCTCACAGCTGCCCCGGGGGAGATCCTGTCCTCACACCCATTTTACAAGAGAGAAAACTGAGTCATGAGAGGTTATATGACATAAACCTAATGCCACACAGCTGGTAGGTGGCGGGACCAGGATGGCAAACCCAGGTGGTCTCCTGAGCTGGAACCTCTGCACATACTGTGTTCCGCAGTGAACTTCTGGGGAGTGTTGCTGTGAGCATTAGACAAACTAATAGAAATAAAGCACTTTTTGCTCTGCCTGGCATAAAGAGCTTAATAAGAGTTCCCATAAAAAGCTAGTATTATTAGGTTTTATTATTATTATTATTATTATTATTATTACCTCTAGATGAAAAGGCTGCCTGTGACTTGTCAAGGTTGCTATTGTAATAAGTCTGGTGTCTTTTCTTTCTTTTCTTTTTTTTTAAATATATTTTATTGATTTTTCACAGAGAGGAAGAGAGAGGGATAGAGAGTTAGAAACATCAATGAGAGAGAATCATCAATCAGCTGCCTCTTGCACACTGGGGATGTGCCCGCAACCAAGGTACATGCCTCAACCGGAATCGAACCTGGGACCTTTCAGTCTGCAGACCGACGCTCTATCCACTGAGCCAGACCGGTCCCAGCTTTTCTTTCTTTTCTTGTTAGCCAGTAGCAATGTTCCAGGTTCCCTCTCAGCCCTGGGGTGGGAAAGACCAATCTAGCCAGGTAAGGTCTGGTGGGAACCAGTTATGGCCAAGAGTTTAGATGCTGACTTATGCACACGCCTGCTGCCTGCTCCTCCGGCTCCTTCTCCTCATTTTGCGAAGGCAAAGCACCCCCACTAGAGGGTGTGCAGGTGTAAAGAATGGAAGTTAAGCACCTTAGGATGCTGGATTGAGGCACCCTGAGAGGGCACCCTGGCCAGGCCTCATTCTGGGGCAAGCTTTTTCCATCACTCAGTCTCGAACTGACAGGCCACACAAGAGGAAGAGGAGCCGCGCACCCCAGGGATCAGAGTGGAGCCGCAGGGCGTGGGGCACCAGGACTGTTACACCATACCCTCGCTCCCTCTGCCAGCCTGACAGCATCCAAGCAGCCTCCACAGTTATTGGCACACAGCAGGTGCGCTTTAAATGTTTGGTCCATGAGTGATGGGCCTCTTCAAATAAGTCAATAGACACATCTTAAATAACTCATTTGGCAGGACCTACTACTCCACTCTACAGTTCTCTCCACCTGAAACAGCCCAGGACCTTTATAAGCCTGGCTCCCACGTGACCATCAGATCTCTTGGCCCAATGCTGGCCTCTTCCCAGAGGCCTGTCCTGAGCCCCCAGCACTCTCACTACCCCAAGTTCCAATCCCATCCTGTAGGGTTTCATAGAAGTTAGCCTACTAACTTCGACCCGCTAAAAAGTTCTACATTGATCCATGGTCTTATACTGGTAAGCACTGGGGAGTGGCATCTCTTTCTTCTTGTTTGGCACTAGGGCACCCACAAGATCATGCTCGAGGTTCTGGGCAGGATTCTGAGCTTGCGTCATGATCCTGGGTGAGCCCGAGACTCCTGAGGTTACACCTGAAGATTCTTCAGGAAACGAGAGAAAAGATTTAATCTCGCAGGATTCACGTGTCACGATAGCCTTGACAGACAATTCACTCAAACACGCTGACTCCTTTCTGTTGATATATTTCTTCCGAACCCTCTCTGGCTCCAGGCATCAGCTTCTGATTTTGAAATATCAATAGAACTTACGTCAGTTGTGATTTTTGTTTAATCCGAAAATACACTCTCCTTAATCCCTTTGTTGTTAGGATTGATTCAAACCTCCTCGTGACGTGGTCTCCCCATGCCAAACCCACAGGGGCATTGATGGGACGATGTGACCAGAGCCGTGCCGACAGTGACCTGTTGGCCCTGCCAAGGCAAGGAAGACCCAAGAGCTTTCGAATGCTTTTGAAATTAGAAGAGGCCACGACGGGATGGGATCAGCCCAGCATCCGAGGAGCAGAGGGACTGGCCCCTGGCCCAGCGCGCTCCCAGGATTCAGATCAAAGCTGATGGCAGCAGTGCGTTCCAGTTTCCAAGGAGTGTGCTCTCTCTGATGCCCTGGAGCCATAGCTGGGCGTGGGCAGCATCAGACGCTGGCTGAGGCTTGACTCAGCGTTACTAACCTCCTCTTTGGGCGGGAAGCCACCTCTGGCGCACCCCGATCTGGGAGGCTTACCTTACCACCTTCGAATGAACTCCTGTAGCTGGAAGCAGCGTGCAGCTGGACGGATCCGAGCGCCACTTCTCCGAGGGGGAGACTCCACGTTCCGTTTCTGCAGTCTTGGCATTTCCAAGTAGGAAAGGGCCAGACAGATCACCAGCCTGGGTCGCTGTTGGTTTTATCCTTGTTGTCCTGTCCCTTTCGCTCACCCACCTTTACCTCTTTAACACAGCAGGGTTTTTTGTTGTTGTTTTTTTTTTTAAATATGTGATTTATTGCCCGGCTGCCATGGCTCAGTGGTTGAACATTGACCTATGAACCCGGAGGTCACAGTTGGATTCCTGGTCAGGGCTCCATCCCCAGTAGGGGGCATGCAGGAAGCAGCCGATGGATGATTCTCTCTCACTGATGTTTCTCTCTCTCCTTCTCCCTTCCTCTCTCTGAAATCAATAAAAATGTATTTTAAAAACCTATGTGTAATTTATTATACATAGTATTGGATAGGTAATACTTTGATATCAACCAAATTCGAAGGTATGAAAGCACACACAGAAAGATGTGGGGAAATTGGGGTGCACTGTTGGTGGGAATGCAAATGGTATAGCCGCTGTGGCACTCAGGATGAGGGCTCTTCAAAATTTAAACATAGAGCCCAACCGGAGTGGCTACGTGGTTCAGCATCGACCCGGGATTGTATTCCTGATCAGGGCACACGCCCAGGTTGCAGCTTCTCCCTAGTGGAGGCAGCTGACTGATGATTCTCTCTCCCTCTCCTTTCCTCTCTGAAATCAATGAAAGTAAAATATATATTTTTTAAAAGATGCCATACACAGACAAAAAAAATTAAACATAGAACTACCCAAGGATCCATCATATGGGTATGTCTTCAGAGGACATAAAAATCACTGTCTTGAAGAGATAGCTGCACCTCTATGTTCATGGCAGATTCTTGTATCCCAATATTCATAGCAGAATTAATCACAATAGCTAAAAAACTCCTGCCTCGTGGCAGCTACTGTTCTAAGCACATTAACTTATTTAACTCTCACAACAACCCTGTGAAGTAGGTGCCATTGCTAATTATTCCCATTTTACAGGCCAGGCCTTCCAGGCAAGGTCAGGAACGTGCCTAACATCATGGAGCTAATGACCGAGAGAGCCGGACTTCGCCCACACAGCAGGGCTGCCAGGCCTCTGGGCACACAAACCTTTACTGAGCTTGCTGCCGGGCCCCGAGCTTCCTGGCGAGAGAGACGCGATGATGCCTTAGATGCGAGAGAGATGTGATTATGCCCAACACCGAGGAGTTAATGACTGCAACACGGACACCATTCACCGTAATGCCAGACAGAGAGCTGATCAGCATTAAAAGGGGGAAGCACTAAATGTCCTGAAGAGCAGAGGAGAGGTGGTGAGGAGTGAAGCTGTGTAGAGGAGGTGACATCTGAGTGTGAAGA